CAGTACGGCTTTTGGGAAGACCAAGCAGGAGAGGGTTACAATAATCCATGCATGAAATTATTAGAGCATGGACAAGCTCCTTGGTAGTATCTGGTGCAAGAAAGGGGCGGATGCGGGCTATGTTTTTAAGATGGAATCTACAGGATTTGGCAACATGCTGGATGTGAGGCTCAAAGGTGAGACCAGAGTCAAGTATGAAGCCAAGACAGCGCGCTTGCAAGGATGGGCTGATGTTGGTACCACAAACTTGAAGGGAGAGCGAAAGAGGAGGATCAGTATTAGGAGGAGGAAAGACAAGGAGCTCAGTTTTTGAGAGATTGAGTTTCAGAAAGCGGGAGGACATCCAGTCAGAGATGGAAGAAAGGCAAGCAGTGACACGTTGCAGGACAGCAGGGGAGAGGTCCGGGGAGGAGAGATATAGCTGGGTGTCATCAGCGTACAGGTGGTAGTGGAAACCAAATGAGGTAATAAGTTTGCCAAGAGAGGCAGTGTAAAGAGAAAATAGAAGGGGACCAAGGACGGAGCCTTGGGGGACTCCAACCGAGACAGGGCGAGGGGAGGAGGTATCATTAGAAAAAGAGACACTGAATGAGCGTTGGGAGAGATAAGAGGAAAACCACGAGAGGACAGAGTCACAGAGACCAAGCGATTGCAGAGTTTGAAGAAGGAGAGCATGATCAACGGTGTCAAAGGCCGCCGAGAGGTCAAGAAGAATTAGTATGGAGTAGTGGCCTTTGGATTTAGCTGCGATTAGGTCGTTAGTAACTTTGATAAGGGCAGTCTCTGTAGAGTGGAGAGGGCGGAAGCCAGATTGAAGGGGGTCAAGGAGAGAGTTGGAATTGAGGAAATGAGACACACGGGTAAAGACGAGTCTTTCCAGAAGCTTTGAGGAAAAAGGGAGCAGGGATATGGGACGGTAGTTAGAGGGGGTGGATGGGTCAAGGGATGGTTTTTTTAGTATAGGTACTACAGTGGCATGTTTAAGGTCAGCAGGGACGATGCCAGAAGAGAGCGAGCAGTTGAAGATGTGTGTTAGAGAAGGCACGAGACAAGTGGAGAGAGATCTGATAAGGTGAGATGGGACAGGATCGAGCGGGCAAGTGGTGGGGCGAGAGGAGCAAAGAAGAGCAGCCACCTCTTGGTCAGTGGCTGGGGAGAATGTCTGAAGGGTAGGAAAGGCATGATCAATGTGTGATTGAGAAACAGAAAGGCAAGGAGGGGAGAATTCTTTCCTTAGCTGTTCAATTTTGTCAGTGAAGTAACATGCAAAGTTATCAGCAGTAAGGTTGGTTTGGGGGGTGGCCACAGCGGGGCGAAGAAGAGAATTAAAGGTGTCAAAGAGACGCCTGGGGTTGCGGGAACATGAACTAATGAGAGAGGAAAAATAGGACTGTTTGGCAAGGGCAAGGGCTGCACTGTATGAACACAGTATGAATCTATAATGGAGAAAGTCTGACTGGGTGCGAGACTTCCTCCAGGAGCGTTCAGCACACCGGGAGCATCTTTGCAGGTAGCGCGTTGATTTAGTATGCCATGGTTGGGGGCGGGTCCTCCTTGAGGTGCTTGCTTGGAGTGGCGCTGCAGTGTTCAAGGCAGATGTAAGAGTAGAGTTATATATGGAGATGGTCAGTGAAGGACAGGATAGGGAAGGGATGGACAGCAGTTGTGGATCAATGTCAGCTGACAACTGTTGGAGATCAAGAGAATTAAGGTCCCTCCTGAGTTGAGGCTGATTAGGTGGAGGTTGTTGGGTGAGGGGGTACGTGAGAGCAAACGATAAGAGGTGGTGATCAGAGAGAGGATAGGGAGTGTTGCAGATATTAGATACCGTACATGCATAAGTGAAGATTAGGTCGAGGGTATTGCCAGCAACATGGGTGGGTGAATTTGCCCACTGTGATAGCCCGAGGGAGGAAGTAATTGAAAGTAGTTTATTGGCTGCAGAGGTCAAAGGTGGGTTTATAGGAATATTGAAGTCCCCGAGAATTAGGGATGGGATGTTAGAAGAGAGGAAATAGGGTAGCCAGGCAGCAAAATGGTCAAGGAAGAGAAGAGGGGAACCAGGGGGACGGTAAATAACAGCAATGTTAGCAGCGAAGGGTTTGAAAAGGCGAATTGAGTGTATTTCAAATGATGGGAAAGAGAGGGAAGGGGGGGTGGGAAGAGGTTTAAAAGAGCAGTGAGGGGAGAGGAGAAACCCAACACCACCACCTTTACATTCAGAGTTTCTTGGGGTGTGGGTAAGTTGGAGACCACCGAAGGACAAAGATGCAGGGGTGGCAGTGTCAGAGGGGGAGAGCCAGGTTTCTGTTAAGGCTAGTAAATCTATTGAACGAGAGATGAAGTAGTCATGGACAGCAGTGGATTTAGTTATATTGCAAACAGAGCGTGCGTTCCAGAGGGCAGTATTGAAGGAGGATTTAGAGGAACAAGAGATGGGTATGAGATTAGTGTGGATCCTTGGGTTAGTATGTGCTGAGTTTGTTGAGAGGGGACCGGGGTTTGGAGAGACATCACCAGCTGCTAGGAGCAGAAGGATAGAAAGGAAGTGAAGGTGGGAGTAGGATTTGAAAGTTTTGTAGGAGGGTATGTATGTGGAGGATTTGGAAAGAGTCGGTGGAGATAGGCTGGAAAGGTATAAATCAGTTTTGTTTCTGTTTATGCAGCCCGAGCCACACCTCCCCTGGCTGTGACTGGCACAGCCTGCATGAAAACAAAATGGTTTCATTTTCAATCAGATATAACTTACTTTAAAAGCTTTTCTCTCTTGCTCGGTAAATTGAACTTCAATTACATACAAGAGGCTCCTGTAGGGTCTAGAACACTATTAACAGAGGAGGAGATAAGAAAATCTAAATGAAACACAATTTGCAATAAAGGAAGTGTAAACATTAGATGACTGTTCACAGGACGTGTTTAGAAAGGCCGTGTAAGTCACATTCAGGGAAGTGTGACTAGGGCTGCATAAACAAAGTTATTTAAAGGGACACTATAGTCACCAAAACAACTTTAGCTTAATGAAGCAGTTTTGGTGTATAGATAATGCCTCTGAAGTTTCACTGCCAGTGTTTGTAGTTAAATCACTTTTGTTTGTTCGTACAGCCCTAGCCCCACCTCCCCTTGATGTGACTCACACAGCATGCATGCAAAAAATGGTTTCACTTTAAATTTTTTATCTCCTGCTGTCTAACTTGAATTATCACACAGGAGGCTCCTGCAGTGTGTAGCAAGATATTAACAGTGCAGGGGATACACAATTTTATATTAAACAGTGTCCAATAAAGGAAGTATAAACATTAGATGACTCTTTACAGGAAGTGTTTATGGAAGGCTGTGCAAGTCACATGCAGGGAGATGTGACTAGGGTGCATACACAAAGGGATTTAACTTCTAAATGGCAGAGAACTAAGCAGTGAGACTGCAGGGACATGATCTATACACCAAAACTGCTTCATTAAGCTAGAGTTGTTTTGGTGACTATAGTGTTCCTTTAACTCCTGAATGGCAGAGAATTGAGCAGTGGCACTGCAGAGGCATGATCTATACACAAACTAATTGAGCTCAAGATGTTTTGGTGACTATAGTCCCCTTTTAAGAGTTATTCACCGTTTCAAAATGTGGTTATATTAGAACAGTAAAATAGGTTATTTATGAAGTTCAGCATTTGCCAAGAAAATTGAGCAACTCAAACGATAAAATTAGTCTTATAGTAACAACTAAATGCACCCAGAGTTAATGCTCTCACCTGGATCCGGATAGAATTCTGAATAACTCTTCTATAGCCAGCTGATAAATATTTAAACCATAAATAAATGCAGTTAACCAAATTGTGGGTATTAGAAATGACCACAACTTCAGGTCCCTCTTGTTTCATAGGTGGCAATGATAACCTAGTTTGTTTCAATTTATTTGATAAGTTACCATGCGCCACCTGCTGGATAGAATAGTAATGGGAGAAATGGGTTAACTTTAGTGTGCATGGCAGCTTGGGTTTTTATATTGTGTATAGCCCCTGCCCCACAGAACATAGGTTCTGCTATGATAACAGCTTAATGTAGTTAAGGGCTCCATCCACTAAACAATGCAGTTTACACATCCAATAATTCTAATTTAGAGGGAAAAATATCTAGTTCAGCTTAGACCGTTTTCCATATCTGCTGTTTAAGTGGAACTTTGCTACTAAAAATCTCACAGTTGTCTAGTGAAAAAAACCTCTTCAAATAAAAAAAGTCCATAAAAACAGATTTAATCCGATTGAAAGTAATTTCCAGTTTGGGACTGGAGCTACGCCATGTCTAATGTGGTTCATTGTCTGGTAGATGAGGAGGAGGATTACCTGGATGTAGAAGTTCACTTGAACAGAAAGCGAATCGGCGAAGGAAATAGCACGAGCAGTTTCGTGGAGTGGTGGGTGATCAAGCTGGCGGACTGCGAGGGTGAAGACTGTAATATACTGCCCATGGTGATTTTCAATGACAAGGTCAGCCCTCCTAGTCTGGGCTTTCTAGCAGGATACGGGTGAGTTCCAAACAGACTGCTATAAGTGATAAATGTCATCTTCTATATGTTGAAACTCAGTCTTTAGAATGCTGTTAGCTGTATTTTTAAACACCGTAAATTAACATTCTAAGGTTCTATATTCATTTAATTATGATGGGGTGTTTTAAAGTATATTTGTGTATTTAAGTTAAAGAGGTTGGTTTCCTCTAATCCAGTTGCAAGAGGGTCCACTCCACCTCCGAGAGATCTTCATAACTGAACTCCCAGCCAATCCTTCTCTGAGAGCATAGATGCAGTTGTTGCCACACTGCTCCAGCAATGCTTCTTAATGGAAAGCCTATTGAACAAGCACTCAAAGCTGGTGGAGAAGATCACAAGAGGGCAACCTAGATTCTCTATGAATGTCTTAAATTCAAGAGAAATTGGTACTCTTAACCTCTAAAGCACCTCAGCATGCTGCTAAACAGGTTTGGAGTGTTCCTTTAAATATGTTAAGGGATCTCAACATAACATGAGTCACATTTGTACGTTTCAGAAACTTCCATACTGAGTTCACTAGTTTTGCATTTTAAAGGAAAAGTTGAGTAATTTTGTTGAAGTTCTAGTTTAGTAACGCTGCTTCTTGTCTCACACAGGATTATGGGCCTGTACGTCTCCATTGTGCTGGTGATTGGGAAGTTTGTACGTGGCTTCTTCAGCGAGATCTCTCACTCTATTATGTTCGAGGAGTTGCCGTGCGTAGATCGGATTCTCAAGCTGTGCCAAGATATCTATGTGGTGAGAGAACGCGGAGAGTTGGCCTTAGAAGAAGAACTCTATGCCAAACTCATCTTCTTGTACCGATCGCCAGAAACCATGATCAAATGGACTATAGAGAAAGACTAATGGAAACTATATAGACAATGTACGGGAATTGTTTTAAATGCTGGAAGTACCTGAAGTAATGGTCCTGAAAGAGGAGCAAGTTGCGGACCGTAATTTTAATACTACAATTTATAAACTCCAGAAGGAAGTCAAGACACTACTGATCCGCAGTTACGAGAAGGATGTACGATGCCGCTGTTTTTTCTATCACAGCTCTTCGTGGTGAGAGATTATCATTTAAATCTGTGTCGCTGGTCTTCATAAAAGCACTACCACCAGCTGATCAGAAGGAACCTTTTGTCTTGAATACTGCTAGACACCATCACTAGATATTTATATGCTGCTCAGTGTTGGAAGGTCCAGCATCTGGCAAAATAAAGACATTTTTAATATGTTTATGACCATTACGGACGTTTGAATAGTGCCGACCTTATTCTCCGTGTAAGGAGGTTCTAGAAAGACTTGTTCTGGACAAGCTAATATTTATATTACTGTTACATCAGCAACTTTACACACTGTCAGTGTGGAGGAATAACTGTGTGCGGGCAGCAGCCTGGATCTAAGAGCAATAATTATCTTCCTAATCTGTGTTTTCTGATTACTGTACCAAAGACTAGAGTTTCCACTGTGCACTACTGCAGGGCAGGACTTGTGTTTGACACATCTCATTAACCTATTTTCTGAACAAAACCAAAAGAAATGAGATTATCACAATTTTTGTTTTTACTATTAAAAATGGCTTCAGTGAAAAAGTGGAATTTTGCATTTAATACAAAAGATGTGTTTCCGAGTTAGTGTACAGTATTCACTGAAATGTGAATTACAACTTTAAGGCCAAGGTTGGAGAATATTTTCACCTTAAACTTGAAATTTGAGTTGAATTCTGACATTAGTAAATAACCCTGATAGTATTGTAACATGCTTTCCCAGTTATTGTAGAGCTGTAAGCTCCCACAATGCTTTGCAGTTCTACACTAGCCTGGGCACCCGTGTGCTAGCATATGAAAAGTGTTTAAATTTAGCATCCATAAAATTAATAAAAGACACAATGTGCACATACAGATTAAAAAAAGACTTTATTTTGTGGTTCCTGATTCACTAAAAGAGTTCAAAAGTATTTAGTTATAAATAAAACATAAAATTTGGAGACATTGATAATATCCAAGGTAGTAGTGTGATAACTCTAAAAAGAGAATTGGAACTGTTTTTTTACCCTGGGAAATAATGTTAAGACTTGCTAGAGGAGATTATGGTGGAAGCCACCATTTAATGCCTCTGCAAAGGCACTAACCTGGCATATGATGCAAATGAGCTCAAACGTCCATTGGTTCCCACGCTTACAAAGAATCGTGGTAGCCTGTGCTCTATTAATGAGGCAGTGCCCTCTACATGGTTATTACCGTATTTGATGTAGTAAAATGTGATGGTTCTTCACCACAGAAAACACAGGATCACTGCTCTTCCAGCCTCATGCTAGAACGTGATCTGTTATTGAAAAGTCTTGCTGCTCTCTAGTCCTTGATGCTGTGGATGGAGATGGTGGCAACTGAGTTCATGCATCATCAGAGCCATCATCAAGCAGGAACTCCTGTATTTCCTTCCTCATCTCACACCTAATGAAAAATAGAGAAGTTGGTCTGGATCAAACAAATGCATTCCACTTTATAGTAAGAAACATTGCAAGTACCAAAGAGACTGTATCCATAACCAGTTTGATCTTAAAAGCTGAATAAAACAGACTACCAGTCTCTTAATCAGCGCCCACAGACAAAAAGAAGTCATGATGGAAACGCTGGATTAAACAGAAGGACTAGTTAAGGACTAGTTCTGACATGAGGTCTTGGATTTGGAAATGGGGGAAAAAAAGTGCCTTTCTATTGCCTAGAATAATTAGCTACAGCACCCATAAACCTCTGGCAGGCAATTGGCAATACTGGCATCACATCATTTATGGGCTTGATACTATGTTAACTGATGGACATCAATACCCAAACTAGTCCTTAAGACCAGGGTTTGGGGATTACCCAGTTATGTCTAAGGTGTCTTTAGAAGATGATGAAAAAAACACCTTAGACATAACTGGTTAATCCCTAAAGTCCATACTGAGAACCACTAACCTGCACCTTTATGTGATGGGGCCAAAACTAGGTTTATCTTTCAGGGATAAGCAACCTTCGGCACCCCAGATGTTGGACTACATCTCCCTTGATGCTTTGCCAGCATTGTGGCTGTAAGAGCATTTTGGGAGATGTAGTCTAAAACATCTTGAGTGCCGAAGGTTGCCTACCACCGTCTTAGGTAATAGAGTATGAAGCTTTACATTTAATTTTATTTTATGTTGTGGCGCAAACCTAAAACATGCCAAACCAGAAAAAAAAAAATATGCTCCATGTTCTTTAGACAATGACATTACAACTATCCACCAACAAACGTTAATGTGTCAACTTATACATTTAATATAAATATGAATTCAGAATGGAAATTCTCTATCATGTTATAAAAACACAGCAAGTTTAAATACTAGCTGCAGTCCTACACCAAGATATTCATATACTGGACCAACAGTTCTAAAATAAATCTTGCCCAGCCATTTTGGTTTTGATGCTCAAAGGATCATGGGAGTTGGAGGTACATTTGGATAACCCTAAAGTAGACCAGAGGATACTATTTGATTGCTTACACTATGCATGTGATAACACTGCCCCCTCCAATAAACCATGATTAAGACACTATTTAGAAGTGGGTAACACTATACACACATGCCCTCCTGTAAAAGAAACCAAAACCAGTATTTTCAGGAATTAGTGAATAAAGCCATGTGAGGATTCTATCAGCAAAATGAAACCAGACTGCAGTATTTAGGCTAAAATATTTAAGCTGTTAACCGAGTTTAAGTTTTTTCCCCCCAATCAGCACTTTAGGCTAAAGCTTGCAATTCAGTTTTGAATTCACTACACTATTCTGTTTAATGGAGAGAGAGAACCAAACTCTTATATAAATGTGTATTCTTTATACAAAAGCCTTTTCCATTAAAGAGTTACTCCAAGCACCATAACCACTAGAGCCTGCTGTATGGTGCTAGGAGTACACTGACACCGTTCCCCCTGTAATGGGGCAAACCATTTACTCTCTTACCCCACTGAGTGCTCTGTCTCCTTGGCTGCACAGAATTGACATTAGCTGGTCTGGAACGCTTATTGACAACCACATTAAAACTAGTTCAGCTGCTAAAAAGGTATGGATATCCTTAGAAATGCAAATACAGCCAGTTTCAGTTCTATGGCTCTGAACTGACTGGGTAGGTTACTTACCTGCGAGTCCTGTGTTCAGCCTCATGGTGTATATACTGGGGTAAGTGATCCACAGATTCCTGCAGGGAAAAAAAAAAACACAATTTTAACTGCTGCTCTCAATACTTGCTCAGGTAGTAGTTGAGAGGTGGGACAGTCCAGACACCACTTCCTACTGAGAGTTAATGAACTATTAGTATGCCAATACCTCTACTGAATCTAGTTCATGTATTGGGCAGACAGTGTAATCTGAATGGAACTAAGAGCATGTAAATGGTGAGTGAGAGAGATGGCAGACACTTTATTTTTTTTACTGTAGTGATTTTATTGCCCCTGCTTATTTGGAATAAAGGACGGGGAGGACAAAGAAATTAGATTGCAGCACCAGCTTGTTGGCATCCACTTGGTGGATGGATGGGTATTTATACAAGTGCAATAAAATGTGATTTTGGAATTACCAAAACAGTCTGCACTCTAGTTCTCTTTCTTCCTATACTATTCCATATTACACTCTACATCGCAAGAGAAATCCAGAGCAAAATCAGAACTAATGGAATAAATAAAAATGGTCTTCAATGCTTGTTGTCGGAAAGAGGGGGAGAGGGAGAGAGAGAAAAAAAAATCTACTTGCCTGTCATGACAATCTACTTCTTCTGACAAAATAATTTCAATTAAAAAGATTGGGGCCACTGCCAAAAGCCCCGGGCATTGACAGTGCTATTTGCTAATGATATCATGCAGATATCATCCAACTACAGACATGGCGTCCCAGTACTCCTGCCAGGCACCAAGTAATCCCCATGACAGCCCAGAGGCTTGCCTGTGACAGGGCTAAAAGAATAAAAACTGCATGTCCTGGGCATCGGGCAGTATAAATTCCACATCTCTGAATACGAAGATAATTCAGTGTTTATCCCTTCAAATAATGAGATTCAACTTACCAGGTCCTTCATTGTCACTTGACAGCTATAGCACAGGATATGGACTATTCCTGCAGCCCTGTGAAATATAAATAAGTTATCGTGGGTTTATTGCTGACCTTACTAAAATGAAGAAAGGAAAAAAAAAAAAAAAGCGTCCGCTATTGCTTGTAATAGTTTATAAACTGGGCCAGGAAATGCATCAGGGCCACCATCAACAGTACCAGGGTGTCCGTTACAATGTTACTGGTACTGAATAAAATGGAAAACATTTATTTCTAACTGAACAGACTTGTGGTGGCTCAGAATTTAATGCAGACCGACAAACATTCTAAGATCTATATCCTCAGTTCGATTCCTAACTATTTAACCTTTCATAGTTCCAAGGTTTGATAAAATAGTAATCTTTCATTAAGGTTATAGTAACATCTAAAGCCCCAGGCCAAACATGTAAACACTAAAATGTGTCACTCCAGTTTAAGTTGTAATATAGAGTTTTGGGAACTAGCTGTGTTTCTGCACACAATTGTGGCTTCTGTTACATTCTCACCTTAGGGTGGGTTTGTTTTCTGTCTTCTCGCAACATTGTCCTTGCTTACAGCATAGTTTCCCAGAGTCCTTTGCAGGAACAGCACAGTTCTGTTTCATCCTCTGAGAAAGGTTTTGCGATACTTTGGTAGCTTGATATGCCGAAGCTCGGTCTATAATGAGAGGAAGAGATTGCTACAATTAATTAAGGGAAGAATACCTTTTGTCAGGTGTGCCCCTTTCCCCCCAACACAGAGACACAAAAACCACTATCTGGCACAAAATAAGATCACACTGTGATTAATCTACATAGCTATTTATCACCGTTACCTTCCTGTCTCCTTGTTTATTTTCACATCCACAAAGACATTCTGGGAAAACCCGTAACATACACTCTTGAAGAGCGTGCAGACTATATTCAGCATTATATTATTGTTTTATCATGTTTTACTCTTATCACAACTTTCTTTACTATTTAATTATAATATCTGGTGATCTGAGAAAGCCGCCCAGGCGAAATACGTCATTACGCCACCACGTGACTGCACGAAGCTCCTAGAACCCGGAAGTGCCTCCCACGGTGCCGAAAATTGGATACAGCTGACTTTGCTTGCGGGTATTATTTTGTCTTCAATAAGCACCTGATGGGATATTGGCCTTCAATGGGAATATGGAAGCTGTGTTTTAAAGGAAGTTCGTTTTATTGAGCCGGCGTCCTGCTGCATTTACTGCCATTGAGTCCCATGTTGTGGATGACAAGCTGGTATAGTTAGAGCAGACTTTCACTGCTCCTTCTTTGAGAGTTTTATTCCCATTAATTTTTCCCTTTACCCAGTTTATACTGTATGATGCTAGGTTTCTCTTTTTATTTTCTTGTTACATGTACTAATCTTCATTCCATGTGTAGGTCTAAGGGAGATTGATGATGTTGTACGTTATTTTTATATTGATTCTTTCACAAAGCACTTTATTTGCAAGTTTGCACAAATATATAGTTCCCAAACGTTTGCTTTAGTGTATTTATGTGAACCTTTTGCACAGTGCACTATAAATTTAAAGGTATAGCGCACCTTTTTTTCAGTATTTAATTATAATAATCAAACAGTAAAAAAAATAATAATAAACTGCTAAAAACACAAACAGAGAAAACCTCCAACATCATACATATATATCCTTAATACACATATGAAATATGTGAATGCCTTACCAGAATGTGTGTCTAATGGGCACAGGCATAAAAGACATTGTTCCTGTAGAATGCCATCTTTCCTGTTTTCTGCAGTGCATGTATTCAATTTCTCACTGGTTCTAAAATAAAAATATTAAATAAAATGATTCAGCAGGATTAAAGGACATAATACCCAAGTGTTAAATGTGTTGGATCGCAGAGCTAATCTGTACGGGATTTCAAAAACCTCGCATGAGACAGGAACACGAACCAGATAGACCTGCCAGCAGCCATGAGACTTCCATTGCTGGGGAATCCCTGTGGCAGACTGCAAACCTATTCACAGATTTAACACTAGACAGCTCAGCACTCTCGTCCTGGACTGTCTAATGATCCTGCTGGCATGGTTTACTGCTCCAGCAACAATGTGCTCCCTCTCTGTATGTGCAGCATTTGCAGACTCCAAGTACCATAGCCACTTCAAAACACTAAAGTGGTTATGGTGCTTGGTGTAACCCTTTAATATCCCTCTTGGTATATGGGGCATTTCTTACCTGTACACTGTGCTGACTGTGGATGGAAAATCTGCCTGTAGTTTGGTGATAAAGGTTTCAGTCAGCCGCTGAATGCTGCTATTCTCAAGGGCCTGTCAGGTCATACACAGCAGGAACGAGAGATGATCAGTAAATAGAGACGAAGTGGAAACAAGACAGTCATTAAGTGCAGGCAGTGGGGAACGAGAAACCATCAGTAAGCACATACAGAGCATAACGAGAAACCGCCTGTAAGTACAGACAAAGCGAGAATGAGAAACTGTCAGTAAGTACAGACAGAGCAGGAGCAAGAAACAGTAAGTACAGAGAGCAGGGACAAGAAACAGCAAGTACAGACAAAGCAGGGACAGGAAACCTTAAATACAGACAGAACAGGAACGAGAAACCGTCAGTAAGAACAGACAGAGCAGAAAGAGAAAGTCAGTAAGTACAGGCAGAATAAGAATGAAAAACTAAGTACAGACAGAGCAGAAATAGCAACAATAAGAACCAGGGCCGTCTTTAATAACGAATGGACCCTGGGCAAGTGTTTGCTTGGGCCCCCTCTGCCCTGCCGCTCTCGCCCCTCACTCCCTGGTATGCAATCACGGCATCCATCCCAACGCAGTGGCGGTACTAAAGTAGAATGAATTTTATTGGGACCCCAATTGCAAGGTTGGACTAAAGGTAGAACCCCATCTGTCGTGCAACTCCAACAATGCTTTGACAGCTGGGACTCTACCAATTTCCCATGCTTGCAGGGTTGTATTTAGCACTGAGCCATGTTAGTATGTTTGAATGTAAGCATGTGTTTGTATGGAGTATGTTTGTGTGAATGTGTTTGTATGTGGTACTGGAGTTTGAATGCAAGTGTGCATTTATGTGTAGTGTTTGTTTTTGAATGTAGGAGTGTGCTTGTATGTAGTGTTGACGTTTCAATGCAGGAGTGTGTTTTATATGTAGTGTTGAAGTTTGAATGGAGGGGTGTATTTGTATTTAAAGTTGCGGCTCAGATGCACAGGTACACACTCTGACGCACAAGCAGATACACAGATACATACACTGACTACATACAGATAAACAGGCACATACACTGACAGACACACTGACAGGTACATATATTGACACACACACAGACACATACACTGGTAGACGTACTGACAGACATACTGACACAGGCACATATACAGACATACTGACACACAGACACATATACCGACATACTGACACACAGACACATACACTGATCAACATACTGACACACATACACTGACAGAAATACTGACACCCACACACTGACAGATATACTGACACCCACATACACTGAGAAATACTGACACACACACACAGGCACATACACTGACACACACAGACTGATATACTGACATACACACACACACACCGACATACTGGCACACAGACAGATATACTGACACATGCATACACATGCACTAACAGACATACTGACGCACTGACAGACATACTGACACATACACATACTGACACACACAGATATACACACACATATATACTGACACACAGACAGACAGACATACTGACACACACACACACATGCTGACACACACACATACACTAACACACACACACACTAACACACAGATACACTAACACACAAACACACACACTAACACACATACACACACACTAACACACACACTAACACACATAAACACACACATACATACACTAACACACACATACACTAACACACAAACACATACACTAACACACACAAACACACACACTAACACACAAACACTAACACACACAAACACACATTTTTTTTTAAAATGTAATCCCCCCAGCCTCCTTACCTTTTGGAGTGCTGGGGGATTCCCTGGGGTCCAGTGGTGCTGCTGGGCTCCTGGGCGGGTGGCCGGTCGGGCAGGAAGGCGGGCGCGCGAGGGAGCACTCACTGCTTCCTCTTCAGCTCCCTCGCGCGCCGCGTAGGGATGCCGGCGCCGGAAGATGACGTCATCTTCCGGCTCCGGTATCAGTGCGGTGCGCGAGGGAGCTGAAGAGGAAGCACTGAGTGCTCCCTCGCGTGCCCGCTTTCCTGCCCGACCGGCCACCCGCCTTCCGGGTATCAGCGGGGCCCACGGGGCAGGTGCCTCGGGCCCCCCAAAAGAAACTGGGCCCGGGGCAGCTGCCCCGTTTGCCCCGCGTTAAAGACGGCCCTGTCAGTAAGTACAGACAGAGCAGGAACTAAAAACCATTGGTAAGTACAGACAGATCAGAACGAGAAACAGCCAGTATATACAGACAGAGCAGGAACAAGAAACAGACAGTAAATACAGACAGAGCAGGGACAAGAAACGGCAAGTACAGACAGAGCAGGGACAGGGAACCGTAAATACAGACAGAACAGAAACGAAAAATAGTCAGTAAATACAGACAGAGCAGAAAGAGAAAGTCAGCAAGAACAGGAAGAGTAGGAATGAAAAACTGAGTAAGTACAGACAGAGCAACAATAAGAACGAACAAACAAGAGTTAAAATAAGGAACCATCAGTAAGCCGGAACAAGGTACAGGCGATAAGTACAGACAGAGAAACAGTAAGTACAGACAGAGCGAGAATAAGAAACAATCAGTAAGTACAGACCGAGCAGAAACGAGATGCAGTCAATGAGTACAGACAGAGCAGGAACGAGATGCAGTCAATAAGTACAAACAGAGCAGGAACGAGATGCAGTAAATAACTAAAGACAGAGCAGGAACAAAAACAAAAAATAAACTAGCAAAGAGAATGAAGAAGCCTGCGTTGTACCTTCGTGTCCAGCGTTTTTATAAAGATGGATGGGACATTAAACAACCGGTTATAGAAGGAAATTTCTTTCACGGAATATTCTCTCATGGGACGAATAAACAGAACATCTCCATAGCGGCTGTCTGAAAACCCCTTGGGGAAAGAAGAGATAATGGAATGGATTATGTGGTTCTCAATTCCAAGCTCGGAATCAATACTGGGTCCCCATGCTATTTTAAGTGGGTGCATATTGGTTGGAATATGATCATGTTCATCCAAAGCCCAGCCAAGTGGAGAGCCCTTTAACAATAGGAAGACTTTAACAAAGGTGATTTTAACTTTTATAATTATACTAAAGGGTTACTCCAGCTGACGTCGGACAGAGGATTGAGATTGGTGCTGATTATTAGAAAAATACTGAATATAAGCTCTAATAAATCGGCTGAGTCAATAATCGGTAGATTCCTAATTTACATTTACACACACTTTCAAACATTTTACCCTTATGCAGTTAATCCCCAAAGAAGGTGGAAAACCTGTGTCACATAATGGGAACGTTTTGCATCTTTACTCTGACAGTGGTTCTAATTGGATTAACATGCATATGATCTTTAATATCTCTATATAATAAAATAAAAGCATACTGAGTTTTTTTTTTCTTTTTAAACATCTCAACTCATAATCTGAGAAATCAACCTACTTGGGAATTTTACATTCTTAATGTAAATAGCCATTTCCTATGCTGTATGTGAAATCTCTATTCTTCAAGTCTCAGTGGATAACCTCAATAAAGGTTGTATCAGGTTAGCAATGACAAGTAAAGAGGAAATCTTGATTAAGTCCATACCGTATCCATCGGCAAAAATGCACCCCTCCCAAGGGAGATGTTGCTGAGAAGATTGACAGCAAGGCGCGTGCAGCTCTCGCCACTCATTATCTTGGAGTAACCATAGCTCCGTGCCGTGTGTAGTATTAAATGATTCCTGTGGGAGGGGTAGATATCATGAGACTAGGCATTGGCAATCGCAGAGCAGGCTCATATATAACAGCCTATGAAAAGAGAGAAGACTACATAAGGGCCCTTTTCTACTAACCAACTGACAAAGACTCCTAAAAATCTTATTGCCGCCATCTTTTGGATTTCTTTATAGAGGCATATCTCTCCCCTAGCTTTTAAATATGGTTAACTGGTTCCTAACCATCTGTCAGTCATGAGGGTTAGAATCAAAACTCGTAACTGGACCTTCAAAAGTGGCATTTGTTTTGAAATATGGCTGCTCCTTCAATATCTGCATATTCCATATGGTTACATTGATGTCTGATGAATCAACCTATATTATTTTAAAGGTTTAAAAAAAAAAAAATGTAAATGTCTAAAGTCCAAACCACTGCCCGAAATTAGACAATCTCAAAGAATTAAGGGGCAGGTCTGCAGATTTCAGCTTATATTTAAAATTATAAAAATCAAGCTGCCACAAGGGTTGTTTCAATAAATAAATAAAAATGTATATAAAAAATATAAATAAACAAAGTGGGTATCCCCAGGACCCAGTGTTTGTTAAAACAGGGTTAGAATTGCCTGCCTTGTCTTCTCTCAGCTCATGTAAAGGAGTGAAGGATTAATAACATGAATAGGGATGTAAAGCAAACAGACCACTTTCTTCACTGCACTGGACACGGACTGTGATGTTTTACGGGGTCTGTTCTGATAACGAGCATTGGGTGACTATGTGGCGTAGACTATGGAAATGATAGGATGGGCTGTAGGAAATGTGAGGCTGGCAAAGAGGCTCTGCACAGCAACCATGTGTCAAATAATAATAAGGTATAAGGAAAAGATGTGGCAATGTATACATTAATACGAGCAATTCATTATTGATAATTGCAAAGCATGTGTCAATTTACAGATAATTCAATGTTTGCTCGTAAATACACAGACATATTTCAGTAACATAAATTTACACTCCGGGTTTAAGTTTATCTTTTCTTGCAATATATTGTGTAGATAATGCATTAAATAATGAAAAAAAATATATATATTTTCTTTTTTTTTTTCTTTTACTTTGCCAATTAAGATTTGCAGTTTTTGCAGAATGTTTTAATCAAACTAGGAGTGGTTCAGCCAAACCTGGTTCTCTAATATTTTTCTATGGTAGCATATATGTGGATATTTCTACAGTATTAAGTGGCCGGCTGAACTACAACCCCCATAATGTGTCTCGGAATAATACAGCTACATGTAACGATGGGATTTTGCTCCAGGAAGGGAGATGCGGCATTTTTATGGTGACAAAATTTTTTTTTGAGAAAACCCAGCCTAAACTAACCTAACCTACACATTGCTTGTTACTTTTAACTAAAAGAAAGCGCAAAGGGTGCGAGATAAACATATCCTGCAGATTGCTAAAGGTTAAAAAAAAAAAAATAATAATAAAAAAAAAAAGAAATCGCTCTGTAACCAAAATAGGTCACACACTCACACTTGGCATAATGACAGGGCAGCCTTACCGCAGGGTGTGGAGCAGCTCCTGTTTTGCTGTTAGCGTTTTGACGGAGGTGAAGAGCTGGACCAGTTGCTCTGTGAACCTTGCAGGGGAACTGCTATTTGGCAACAAGTCACTAGCCCTTGGTGATGTAGGATCTGCAGTACTGAGTTGTGCCAGCTCATCCACGACGCGTCGCTGTGAATCCTCCTGTTCCATATAATGACCCACTGCCTGCTTGTAGTTCTGCTTTTGTGGAGTGGATTCAGAGAGATTTCTCTGCAATACAGAATGCGGCAACAAGAAAACCTGCAGCCAGGAAACAAAGGAGAGAAATACAAATTAATGGTGTGTGTCTTACAAGATAAATCTTGGATGTTCAAATACAGGGCTAAAACCCATGTGACTTTCTTTATTTGCCTATTACTAGTGCAATAAGCCCAGCATTTAATAGAAAACAATAAATAGTTGCAGCGCACTCAGACTACAAAACAATATATAATACAAAGAAGGCTACTAAAATGCCTATCTGAGAATAAATATGGGGATTTAGTTCCACCATATGGCCATATGTTGTTAAGCCCACCACTATGGCCATACGGTGGAACTAAATCCCCATATTTATTCTCAGATAGGCATTTTAGTAGCCTTCTTTGTATTATATATTGTTTTGTAGTCTGAGTGCGCTGCAACTATTTATTGTTTTATGTATGAAGTTTGGTCACTGCGGCAGCACCTTTCATACAAAATGCAGGTCTTGGGAGTGCCCCCTATCCTTTTTCTGTATACAGCATTTAATAGAAGGCACGTGGGAAGAGTTGCAGAGACAGAAACAAAATTCACAGTTTTCAAACAGCCAGTCAAGTTAGAGCTGGAATGCAAGCTATGGCCAGTGACTGGAAGAATGCACAGATGACAGTCCCAGTGTGATTTATAAAGCACACTTCCGAACGGAACCTTTTACAAAGAAACTCTCACTCTCACTACACTAACGCTCTGGGAAAAAAGCAAAGTCCCAGACTACGCAGACTCCAGAAGGGTTTTACCGATTTAATGCTGGCAGGAGGCAAAAAGAATGAGCTACAAATGTTCAGAAAGCAAAACACCAGAAATCCTGTGTCACCATCTTTTAGAAACGTGTTTGAGAAACACGTTAAACTGTTATGAACACAAAGGCAAGTGTGAAATGACACCCAGTGTAAGCAGACGAGGGCCATTTACACGGACACTTTGGTGATTTATCACTCACTGACATGCCACGCATGTCTTTAATGTATGGGATGACACAGAGAGGGACTTGAATAACAGGGTTAAGTAAACATGGCTTTTACTCCCGTCAGTCATTATGTCCCACTCTAATTACAGTTATACAGACTGTTTGCACTGCACCTCCAGATGCCCTACCAGCTACTATATGGAGATAAGAAAACTGGGTCAGTGTCATTTCATTTAGTGCTGTGTTCAAGGACTAGTTACACCAACTGACGTCTCTGTTTATTACTTGACCTGTCTTTGCCTTCTCATGACTGTTGTTTCTCTATTACAATAGGACCGAAGTTCATCCAGCTCTAAGAAGAGTCCTAAAGCTCTCTCATGTAACTTTTACCAGCATACCAAAGTCAATTGGAATGGCTCAAACATGGAGCACGGGTCATGTTAATGGCTGTTTGAAAATATCCGCAGAACGCGAACCATTCCTTTATGTGTCTACAGTCATTTTCAGATTAACACTCTAATGTGATAAGGACCGATTACATATCTGAATGCATATGATGCAGCTTTCACTCACAATATCCTGCTATTTATCTACCAATATACCGTATGGAATCTGATGGTGGTTTTTAATATACATCAGCGTTCCACATTAAAATGATACTACTTATCCATGGCATACGTGTTTCTTATTTATGTTAATGGCTTAAATAATACCCATCCGTGCAGACTATTTTTACAAGAAATGCATGTCACAGGTGAAGCCATTATCCCCCAAATATTATACGGGCTATGCTTTTTAAGTGAATACAATGGTATATCCTCATCTACAAGGATTGGGATTATCCTTCTCCAGTAAACACACAAATAAAAGGGAGACAATAGTTAGTCTAGAAGTAAAAGTACCAAGCAAAATACTCCATTCTATGAAACCAGGACACGTCATTGTAAGCAGAAATATTAATTGTGTACTGGGTCCGTGCATTGACACACATAGCATACACCCATATACCTCAACTAAACCAACTAAAAAAAACTATGCTAATAAAACTGGACAGATCCTCATTAAACAATCAGAATGTTTAGAAACCCCTAAAACTACCACCAGGAAATTTCAAAAATCAAAACACGACTTACAGACATTTCAATTACAAACCACTTAAAGTAACCTACTGCTTTTAAATGAACATTAGCACAAATGAGTATTCGCCAAAAACAGGTCTTCTGCTATTACCAGACATTAAAAATCAAAATTTAACCCCTTAAGGACCAAACTTCTGGAATAAAAGGGAATCATGACATGTCACACGTCATCTGTCCTTAAGGGGTTAAGCTTACCAAAAAAAAAAAACGTTAAGCTGTAGTTGATCCAAAAGAAAGTGAATAACCAAATTTAAAGCAATTTTCAAATCTAACAAACACAGGGGTGGGAAGCAGTTATTTCATTGGATCAAAACTTTAAATCAGTAACTTTAGCAATCCATTCTCAATTCACTACAAAAGTCAAGATCAGAGACACACATGCCCAGATACAATAGTGATAGCTGCCTTTTGTCTACAGTAGGGATAGCCTGAAAGTAGAACCCAGCAAAAAAATAAATTTAAAAAAAATAAAGCATTGTGAGAGGTGTGGTTGAATAGCAGTTGTAAGTGTACTGTTTGGACACCCCAGCTCTACAGTAAGCACAATCTCACCAAACTGACATTTATTTTCTGCACTTGGAGTCTGTGAAAAGCTCGCCCCCTAGTGACAACATTTTAACATTCTGTCTGTTTTATGCACCATTTATTGCAGTTTCATCCATTGCACTATTTTAGTACGTATTTGATTTTAAGTGCGTTTTATTAGAAATGTCAACAGCGTGATGTAGGGGACTCTATTCCTAACATATTCCCATGGAAGCAGAGCTTACATTGTAGCAAGGGTTTATGGATTGGATACTATAGAAATCCCTTAATAGTGACCTTCAATCAGTGTAACCACATTATACATGGATCCTTCAGTCTATCTGCTCTGTTAATATATAAAAATAAATTAAATAAAGAACTTGTGAACCACACCCAATTAATCACTAGAAAGTGAATTGTCTGGAATTTAAATGGATTTCCAACATTAGATTGTTTTTGAATTAGCCAAAAATTCCCACTATCGTAAAGAACCGTAAGAGTCTCGATGACGCAAAACAAACGGTCATCCCAAAGAGGAATCGAGTTTACACTAATTTAGAATGTTCATATCAGTATAAATCACTTACGCAAATAAGACATGTTGGTCCTTCGCACCTAATAGCGGTATAATCGTATATTAAAAGACAAATCATTTGTAAACATAATGAGAACATTTTATTCTTGGACAAAGGATTTTAGTTTACATCTGTAAATATGCCCATTTATGAACTCTCCAGGTAACTAAAAAGTAAGTGGTTGCCAAGAGACAGATAGAGAGATATCTGGTGTCTGGTGTCACAACTACTTAAAGTGGCTCCACCACCTCAAACTTTTATTACTCCCATTGTTTCCTCTTCTTTACTTCATTCCTGATCTATTTCTCTTTAAAACACAAGACAGAGTAGGGACTATTTCATCTTGTGTATTTGGCTATCGTGACAAAGGGCGAAGTTTAAGGCAAGATTCATCCTTTTTTGTCAGCTTGCCTTAATCTACAACCTTTTGTCACAATAGTCAGGCATGGGAAAAATACACAACAAAGTAGGAGTAAACAGACGCTGTGCAGAGAACTTTGCAACTGCTAATCAGCTCCTTCCCAGCAAATAGTGCAGACACAGATGCAGTATGATACTGCCAGGTTTACAGGTTAAGCACAGATTAAATACAGATTTACATTCATTCTTTGTGCAGACTTGTCACTTGTAACAACAACAACAAATATGATGGGAGAGACACCAACACAACATAAACACATATGGCAATGTTCCTTTAGCATTACAATAGAGATCTCTGAAAATAATAACACATTGATAATAAACAGTTCTTACCTCTTCCAGCCTCACTATGTGAAATGGAAATCCGGTGTCTTCAAGAACATGCCGCACGTTGGAGAAGGTTTCCTCTCGTTCCTCCCAGCTCTGACCAGACACTGCTCCTTCTGCATTTACCAGAAAACACCAAAGTGGTTACTGCCCAATCATTACCGAAAGCCCCACACGCAATGCTTGTTAAGGGGGGAAAGGTAAAATTACCATCAATGAAGATGATCCCAGGGACAAAACGTAATTTTTTGGGAGCATCTCGACCCAAGCCCTGCAACAGAAAGTTACCTAATGTCCATTATAGTGTTGGGGGAATAAAAAAAAAACAAAAACACAGATCCTAACAGAGGCTAATTGAGAGCTTTTCAAGGAAAATAGTTGTCTAATTAGTAACCAGTGATCTAGAATTTAGGAATGAAGAATTTGGCACTTTACCTCTTGTACCTGTTGGATCATTGCACTTGACGACGGACCTCCTGAATATGCCAAGAGAACCTGAGAGATACAGAGTGGAAGACCAATGGTTTATAAAAAGACATACAGAGTTTAACATTTACTCACGGAAATTCTAGCCTTCCAGTGGGTCTTATAGAAAGTGTCCAGGAATTACATTTTTCTTCATTGGGACTCTATCATAGTTACATAGTTACATAGCTGAAAAGAGACTTGCGTCCATCAAGTTCAGCCTACCTCTCATTTGTTTTTTGCTGTTGATCCAAAAGAAGGCAAAAAACCCAGTTTGAAGCACTTCCAATTTTGCAACAAGCTAGGAAAAAAATCCTTCTTGACCCCAGAATGGCAGTCAGATTTACCCTTGGATCAAGCAGTTATTACCCTACATTGATATATATATATTGATACCCTACATATACTCTATCAGTTCTAACAGTGAGGATTTATTAGAGAAACCCATCAAGATATACTCTATGATTGTTGTGGATATAATCATGGTATTCACTGATGAGATGTATAGACTCATTTTATGTATTTAAATGTTTGGTTGGAGCAACTTTGTGCGGGGGGCTATTTACACCTACTCACAAGTGATTTTTGGAGCCTGGAACTCTTTTCCTGGCTGTCTAATGTCAATTCTGTGCATATTTTACATCTGTCATCAATGCACACTGCACGCTGGCGACAGACAGTCTCTACTTTTCCCTTGCAGGTAGAACCTATAAAGAAAATCTTATGACTCCCCTCCCTCATTCACTGCATCCCTCCATCTTTCCTATCCGCTCCCTAATCTTTTTTTTTTTCTCAACTCCATCTTCCTTCACTGGCTCAGAGTGTGTGCATGTGCTCTAAGCCAGTTGAATGGTTCAATCAAAAGCCTACTCTATGAGAAGTCTTTGACTGAAAATCTGCCTGGTTTCTGTGACGTCCCAAGGAGCTCTCGGAACTCTGCCTGGTGATGGCTTAAGGAAAGTGAAGACTTAAAAACCTTTTTAATAGTCTTTTTTGGGGGTGGGAGGGGCTAAAGAATAATGACCAATAGGGCATTTTCAAAGAAAAACAAAAAGGGTTGGTGTAATCCTTTCGTTCACAAAATTCTGAGTTTTGTTAATAACCCTGAAAGAGTATAAAGTTGCCTTATACACTTTGTGTTCCTTTGAAAGCATAATTTTTCCCCAAATAACATAGAACGTGCTACTTGCTGCAACTGTATCACAAAGTTTTAACATTGTGCCTGTTTTCTGCACCGTTTATTGCAGTTTCATTCATTTCACAATTTTAGCATGCATTTTATACGTTCTAATCCAGGGGAAGAACCACTCAGCACCACTTAGTCACTACTCATCATTTCCCAGGGACAATTATGGTGAATCTGGCTCTGCTACTCATTTATTATTTTTAAGGCTGTGCTGTATTCACCACAACCTCTAAAGTAACCCCATGCCCTCTGCCTCTCATCCAGCTCTGTACCTTCTCTCCTGGATATACTACTCTGTTCTTGCCAAGCATAGCCCGGAACTTGTGCACAAAGTATTCTTTGAAGCAGGATCTGAAATGAAATGAGCAGAGGATACATTTTATATGCAAAATATTGGAACACACCACAAAAATGTATACGTATAGATTTACATTGCATAATTTTCAAGCAGCATTATCATGGCTGCATCTATTTTTTTATTTTAAACTACCCTCCTTACTTCACTACATTTTATTATCCCCTTAGTCTTCCCCAAAAGCCTCTAGACATTTCAACTTTTTTTACCTTTATATTTCTTGCCTGGATCTACCGTGAGGGAAAAAAGTATTTGATCTCCTGCTGATTTTGAATGTTTGCCCACTGATAAAGAAATTATCAGTCTATAATTTTAATGGTAGGTGTATTTTAACAGTGAGAGACAGAATAACAAAAAAAAGGCGCTGCAGGATTTCAGTCCTTCACGGCGTAGTGTGTTACCAATTGTTTTCTTGGTGACTATTGTCCCAGCTGCCTTGAGATTATTAATAAGATCCTCCTGGGCTGATTCCTCACCATTCTTATGATCATTGAAACTCCACTAGGTGAGATCTTGCATGGAGCACCAGACTGAGGGATACTGGCAGTTATTTTGTGTTTCTTCTATTTGTGAATAATCGCACCAACTATTATCACCTTCTCAGCAAGCTGTTTGGCGATAGTTTGTGGCCCATTCCAGCCTTGTCACCATGACATCCAAATGGCCAGACGTGGTCGCCCCAGAAGTGCCCAACAGGGAAATGAACCTGGATCCTTAGGTTTCCTGGGTCTGCTACTAAGCCACAGCAGATTCTGTTCTTTTGTATATGTTCTATCTTTGTTATTCCTGGCTTTGTCTGCAGCACTAGGGGACTGGACTCCATCTGTGGCTGATACCTGTGCTTCACCTGAGGCAGATCGCTAATCAACGAAGGTGCACACGTCCGTGCACTAAAAAAGCGAGTCGGGTTTTTCTTCCTCACAGGGCACTTGAACACAGGGTGTAGCAAGCCAGCATTCTAAGCATGGTTTTGCTTCAGTAGCACCTTACTTTTATTTTTTTCCATTTATTTTCTTCTGACTGTCTAGCGAGATTATAAGGGAGAGAGGCTACTTCACTATAATTCCCTTTCTTTCGCCAATGTACGGGGGTCAATGTGACCTCCATATTGGCATTAGGGAGGTTAAAGTCTCCCTTCTGTCCCTACTTGCAGTGCCGTCCTGTATACTAAACAGTGAGCCATCCAATAAAGCGAAACCTGGTCCCAAACCCCCTAGTAACCTCCCTCTGTGGAATAGGGGTCCCCTTCATGGGTTGGCTGGAGGTCTTTTTTTTTTACAACAGAAGGGAGATTTTAAACTCCCTTACATACAAATACTAAGCAATTTTTACCTAGTATTGGTAAAGTTGTCTGAAAGACCAATTTTGGTCTTTCAGCTTATTAGGAGATGGCTCCCTAAATCCTTGTTGCTATTAAGGGGTAATTTACTAAACTTCTGCAAGATGCAGCCAAGACATGGACTTGAATTTTCTCCTAACACAAACTGTACTCATTCTGTTAGGACAAAATGCGATAATTTCACCGGCATCCTGATCTAAATGGCAGGACGTTCGGGAATGGCGAATAGAGTTCATGCAAGAACACAGAGGAAGGGTGAGTATTGTGGGGAAACATTCTTTGACCAAAGTAAATGAAGCGGATTTAAGCTCCTCGTGTCAGAAAATGTCAGGTGTAGGAAATATACATAAGGTAAAGTAGTCCCTACTTTATCTTATGTTTTAAAGAAAGCTAGATCAGAAAGGAAGAAAAGAACAGATTCTGAGAGAGGAAGACGAGAGGAACCAATATGAGAAAGGTAACTTCAACAGAACAGTGGCGCTTTTATCTATCGTAAGGTAATTTGACTATTTTTTAAATTATTTTAATTCTTGTTAATAACTATAAGACAAACTCATCTAACATACTGACCACTGTAATGCATATTGGAAAACTGTGCATTATTACAGGAAGTAACTGCACAGTTGCAGTCACCATCCTTGCACTACAGGAACGGAAAACATAACCTCCTCATTAGTGTGTGCCTTCATGACATCCCACAGCCCCAGGTCATAATCTCTTGCTTCATGGCCATCACATGAAAGGTTCTGCCATTCAGTATGTAGAATTCACATGCTGCAGGATTCACAACTTATTTCCTTCCTGCTGCATTTGAAATGTACATAGTACAAAGCAGCGCATTTGGTATACTGCCCATCAATATGCAAGTTATCTTTGGATATTATGTATTTAGTTCAGAACCTTTGTTATGATACCATATCTTCTGCTAAACTACGACAGTGTCAGCAAAAAATGCAGAAGCCAGAAGTTACCTAGAACTGCAAAACTACACACTTTTATCCACGCAGGACGCCACAAATAACAGTAAAGATCTTACTTGCAGAAGGCATCTCCTACTCGAATGATCAGAACAGCAGAACCTTCCTTGCACTTCATGCATTTTTGACCCAGCCTGAATAACAGAAGCACAGCAATTACAATAGGCTATATCAGTGGCTTATTTTACTTTATTTTATTTTTTTTAAATAATAGGAAGAGAACAAGGAAGAGCAGTCTTTTCGGTCCAGTTGATAGTCTGCTTAACGTTGCACCGGGCATAAAAACAGTGAAGTCCTCGAGTGCAAGATTTTTGGGTGATTTTATGTATGCTATATATATATATATATATATCACACATTTTAAAACAATTATACATTTCGATAATGGTTTTCATGATTTAAAATATCTAAAACATTTATAATAAAGTTTAGAATCGGTGAGAAAGACCTGTGGTAAATAATGAAATGTGAGTAAACGATAAGGACCACAATAAGCAAACTATGCATTGTGAAGTGACTGAATCTAAACACACAATGGGAATCCCTGGTTAGTGGTGCAAGCGCTACTTTACACCCTCAGAAGACCGAAGTGTCTTGAACCTCTTAAGGACCAAACTTCTGGAATAAAAGGGAATCCTGACATGTCACACGTAGCATGTGTCCTTTATAGGTTAAGGGTTGTGGTTGATCAGTTTGCTATAGATGTACTGTGTGTGGATAGAGTGGAGGGTAACATTGAGTGCCGTCTATATTTTGGGTCCTTCTGTTAGGACCAAGCTACATCTGCCAAGCCCCAAACTAGAATAACATGACCTGCATTCAAACTCTTAATAATACTGAGAGAAATACAGAGGGCTGCTTTAGGTGCACTGAGACATGGGCAGTTTATTTCTTTCAGAATCCTTGTCTCTCCTCACCCCTTCTCCCTTTCCCGCAGCTCCCCGATGTAATCGTCTTCTACTTCACACATGGCTGCAAATCACCCACAATCAACGTGCCTGACAGCCCCAGACAGCTGCTTCCGGCGCACACTAACTACGTCATGTACACAGGCCAGGCACACGCGTGTGACGTCACATGATGAATTCTATGTTACTATTGCTGTATTCACAATTACTGAAACCTTCTAAGGAATGGCATCTCACAATGAAAATGCATCTATTATCAGTCCAGTGCTAATTACAAGGTGTACTTCTGCTATCTGCCCTGCACTACAATAGAATACCCCTACCATCTGCCCTGCACTAGAATAAAATACCCCACACTATCTGCCCTGCACTACAATAGAATACCCCTACCATCTGCCCTGCACTACAATACAATACCCCACACTATCTGCCCTGCACTACAATAGAATACCCCACACTATCTGCCCTGCACTACAATACAATACCCCACACTATCTGCCCTGCACTACAATAGAATACCCCACACTATCTGCCCTGCACTACAATACAATACCCCACACTATCTGCCCTGCACTACAATAGAATACCCCACACTATCTGCCCTGCACTACAATACAATACTATCTGCCCTGCACTACTATAGCCCTGCACTAGTATAGAATACCCCACACTATCTGCCCTGCACTAGAATAGCACACTGCCCTGCACTAGAGAATACCCCACACTATCTGCCCTGCACTACAATACAATACCCCACACTATCTGCCCTGCACTACAATAGACTACCCCACACTATCTGCCCTGCACTACAATACAATACCCCACACTATCTGCTCTGCACTAGTATAGAATACCCCACACTATCTGCCCTGCACTAGAATAGAATATACCACACTATCTGCCCTGCACTACAATAGAATACACCACACTATCTGCCTGCACTAGTATAGAATACCCACACTATCTGCCCCTGCACTAGCCCTGCACTAGAATAGAATATACCACACTATCTGCCCACACTACAATAGAATACACCCCACACTATCTGCCTGCACTGGTATAGAATAGCCCTGCACTGCAATACCCACTATCTGCCCACTGCCCCACATCTACACTATCTGCCCTGCACTACAATAGAATACCCCACACTATCTGCCCTGCACTAGTATAGAATGCCCCACACTATCTGCCCTGCACTAGAATAGAATATACCACACTATCTGCCCTGCACTACAATAGAATACACCACACTATCTGCCCTGCACTAGTATAGAATACCCCACACTATCTGCCCTGCACTAGAATAGAATATACCACACTATCTGCCCTGCACTAGAATAGAATACCCCACACTATCTGCCCTGCACTACAATAGAATACCCCACCCTATCTGCCCTGCACTAGTATAGAATACCCCACACTATCTGCCCTGCACTACAATAGAATACACCACACTATCTGCCCTGCACTAGTATAGAATACCCCACACTATCTGCCCTGCACTAGAATAGAATACCCCACACTATCTGCCCTGCACTAGAATAGAATACCCCACACTATCTGCCCTGCACTAGTATAGAATACCCCACACTTTCTGCCCTGCACTAGTATAGAATACCCCACACTATCTGCCCTGCACTATAATAGAATACCCCACACTATCTGCCCTGCACTAGTATAGAATACCCCACACTATCTGCCCTGCACTATCTGCCCTGCACTAGTATAGAATACCCCACACTATCTGCCCAGCACTAGTATAGAATACCCTGCACTATCTGCCCTGCACTAGTATAGAATACCCCGCACTATCTGCCCGGCACTACAATAGAATACCCCACACTATCTGCCCTGCACTACAATAGAATACCCCACACTATCTGCCCTGCACTAGTATAGAATGCCCCACACTATCTGCCCTGCACTAGTATAGAATACCCCATATTATACATATTCCTATTATCTGCCTGCACTAGAATAAAATATAATTACCATTCAGTTCCAGCTCAATGGTAGCACAGTATATACCTATTCTATCTGCTGAGCAATAAAATACTCCTTCACTGCTTCATGGCAGAGTACCATAGCCACTTCATCTATTGTAGGAAAAAATACTGCCTTCTGACAGCACTGTACCACTAACACCTATTCTACCTACTCTTGTCACATTGGCAGCACAGAATCCCTGCCAACTTCCTCCCTAGAATAAATATACAGGGTTATTCAGCAAAGTGAATTTCAGATTTAAGGTGAAACTAGCCGAGCTCTCACTCACATATGCTTCTGTTCGGCTACTCTGGCCTTAAAATTCATTTTGAATTCTCATTTTAATAAAAACCCTTAGAGTCCTCATACTCTTTTCTTTACTGTTAACCCCTTAAGGACCAAACTTCTGGAATAAAAGGGAATCATGACATGTGACACATGTCATGTGTCCTTAAGGGGTTAAAGTAATGCTACCGCTTTTCCTGTTCTAGGAGAAACTCCCACCCTGCCAGCACCGTACTAGAGCTCTAAATCTAGAATTAATACACTCATGCTCTTTTTCCCCATTTGAAGGATTATACTTTACCACTTCTGCTCTAGAATACTTTAAAAAAAATTTAAAAAATTCCTGAACTCATCCTGATTGTCAGCATAGTACCACAATGAATCATCATTGTCTAGAACAGCGGTTCCTAGTTCCTAAACTGTGTGTCGCGGCACCCTAGACATGCACACAGGGGTGCCGCAGAATGTTTCCCCGTTGCTATGATTATAGCACCAGGGAAACATTACTGCTGAACAGGGACCCGGAACAGGGAACCTAGAAATTTTGACTTGGGGGTGCCTTGGAAAAATGCTAAAATATTAAGGGCACCTTGAACCAAAAAAGTTTGGGAAAAACTGGTCTAGAATAAGAAACTACTATTCTAGTCCTCATGGGTATCACAGTATCATTACCACCTTCTGCTTTTAAAAATAGTACACAGCTTGCCTTATGATAGTTCACCGCGCAGGTCTCAAACAAGTTTTAATCTGAGATTTACACATTGATGTTGTTTGTTTGTTTTTAAATAATAATCTCTAATTGAGTCAAACATATCCATATTTTCTAACCTACATTACAATAACATTTATATGTAATACTAGCGCTATTACCAACCTCTAAAGGAACATTTCAGGCACTATAATAACTTAATCGGACACGTCAATAAGGAAATCTCACACTTGGCGCTGCTGACGCACTCAGCCTATCACAAGCTTCCCATGCATAAAACTTTGTGAGAAGTTATGGACATTTTTGTGATTAGAAAGCTAGTGACACTCTCACCTGACCAGTGGTGCACCTTCCAAGGCTTCCTGATTGGCAGTGGTGCTGCCCCTTCCAAGGCTTGAAGCCTTGGACGTCGCTGGAAGCCAGGAGGCAGAGTGGATGGGTGCCATCTTCATAACGTTGGGTAAAACAGTTTGTAAAGGGTTTAATCATTTAAATTAAAATTGTGCCCAGGACCTCCTGGCACAGTAATAACTTCTTTGAGATTAAGTTGCTGTGGTGCCTGGAGTGTTCCTTTAAGTCGCATTGTACAGGCAGACCAGAAAACATGTTATTTAGTGGAAATAAAATTCCTGTGTAAGTCAGTATTTCATTTAAAAACAGCGGCAACACTACTTGAATAATACTACACATAAACTGTTCTTACTGGAAGCAGAACATTACTACAATAAAGTGCATTAACTTCCCAACAGACCATTACCCCCAACATCGGCTCAGGAATAAGGAATTCCCATCACTTGATGCCTGGGTCATGTAGTTCCAAGAGCCAAAAGCCGTTTTTGTTGTTGTTGCCTTTAGCCCTGCTGCAGACTAGCAACAGATCTGCTAAAGGGAAGCCTGTGGGTTTAGTGCCAGGGCAGGAAGCATGAGGTCTGCACCTTGGGCACATGCAGACCACAGAAATTGCTTGCAGTCTCAGGAACTCACTGAGTCAGTTGTGGGCTGAGAATACCAACGGCTGCGCTCTGACTCACTCACCAGGCCCACGTGTGGTCTGCACCCCACTCAACCACCTGGGAGTTTAACCCATGTTGGACCATCAGAGAAACGTGCACTAAAACATACATGTGGGTATGCCATCTGGTTCATATTTGCCAGTATGACACGCAACCTTGCAAGACGGCAAACTAGGGCAACCCATGAGACAAGAACTGCTGCCATAGCATTTTTACCCAGTAAGCAGTCAAACCATTTGAGAACAGTTTGGCAACTTACCTGTGGTCCAGTGGGCGAGTCGCCCCTTCTGGAACAAGAAGGTCGTACAAGGAGCTTCGTTTAGCTCCACTAAGCCAAGTCGTGCCGTGCAAGGTCAGATCATTGGCCGAGAGCAACAATTGAGCGCTCTCATTTAGTGAGTGTCTCCTTGCACCACAGGGCTTAGCTAAGCGCAGGGAGCGTCTGGGTAGTGAGGAGGTGGCAGAATGGCTTTATGTAATTTGTCAAACCGTTCTCTAGCGGTATGATTATTTACCCTGGGATGGTGCCCTAACACCACAAACACTGCAGCAGGCTGTAGTAGCTGTGGTGCATGGGGTGTTTTTTGTTGTTGTTGTTTTTTTTCTTTTTAAATCTAAATGGCAAAATGTAGGCTATCACAAATTATGTGATAGAGCTATAGTCACAAGCTATGGGATAAAACCTTATTTTCCTACTCATGTCACAATAATTGCAATCTTCCCAATAATTTGGAGTTTATTCACTAAACACCGAATTGTGGTGGATTGAAATCTAAATGCCAGCATTTAAGCTAAAGCAGTTGATCTGAAGACATCCCCCACTCATCTATGGCCACGTTTCGGCGTCGGTTTACTAACAATAACTCTGCCCTGCCCTTACTCAAAATGGCGGCACCTGCTTCGTTAGACATTTAAATTTTCACTCTTAAATCACGTTTTTTTTATGCTATGGCAAGAAGAAAAAAAAACAAAACAGCCCAGCCTCGCTGGCCCTATCCACCCGTTCACCATAAAGGAGCGTTAACAAAAAAATAAAAAGAAAAGAAAAAAAATCCCAGCAAGGTCTCCATGGCGACTGCCCGTCGCGCTGGTGACGTCACGCCCCTGGTCGCGGCGGCGATGACGCGCTATGTTTATGTCCTGCAGCCGTTGAGGTGACGGTGCTGCCGCGGCCATGGCCATGTTTCGCAGCCTGGTGTCGTCCTCTCAGCACCGGCAGCATCACCCGCACCAGCCCCCGGCCGCCCCGTCCTCCGCCGACAGCCTGGAGGCCCAGTACGGCTGCCCCATCTGCCTGGAGGTCTACTACAAGCCCGTGGCCATCGGGAGCTGCGGACACACGTGAGCCACCGGGGGAGGGAGGGAGGCCGAAACGTGAGCCACCGGGGGAGGGGGGCGTGAGCCACCGGGGAGGTGAGCCACCGGGGAGGTGGGGGGTCCCCACCGTGAGCCACCGGGGGAAGCGAAACGTGAGCCACCGGGGGAGGTGGGGGGGGGGGTCCGAAACGTGAGCCACCAGTGGAGGGATCCTCATTAATGGGGCCCTCACAGCTGCTGATCCCTTCCTGTCCCATGGGTAACCACAACCACTTCAGCTGCTGTTTGACATCGACTTCCCGCGTGTTGAAAGTCGTAGTCCATACCTACTAGAGTGACCAGTCCATAGATACTGACCATCCTGTAGACCAGGGGCAGGCAACCTCAAGCTGTTGTGGACTACACCTCCCTTGATGCTTTGCCAGTATCATGGCTGGACATGCATCCCATTGTACAGCGCTATGGAATTTGATGGCGCTATATAAATAATATAATAATTATGGAAAATGTAGTCTACATCATCTGAAATGCCAAAGGTTGCCTACCCCTGCTCTAGACTGGAAGCTCGTTTAACATGTCATGATTCCCTTTTATTCCAGAAGTTTGGTCCTTAAGGGGTTAATTAAGCAAGGTCCTAATCAACCTATTGTAGTTTGTAACATTTTTGTAAATATCTAATTTTATTATGAAATGTAATCCATTTTATAATGTTGTAAAACAACGCGGAAAACGGCGCTATATAAATGCCAATAATAATAATAATCTGTGTTTATTTAGGACTCTAGAGAGAACCCTACTTTCACTGTCATTGGGTATCCACCATACAGCTCCCTAATATTTGAGATTTTTTCCAACTTGGGTCTGTCCATATAATGCAATTGTTGTAGCCTCAGGCTGGCCCGTTTTGCTATTTTATGTTGAGTTGAGAACAGGCAGATCACATTCATCATGTGTCTGGCTACTGTCCACAGTAAATAGTTGACTTTAGCCATTTCCAAGGTAACCGAGACAACTGCCACTTAAAAGAGTCTAATTATCACCGTGTGTTTTTCCCATGATAATTAGCATTTAGTGCTTTATCTGGCATATTATATCTCTGTACTTAATCGAAACTTATCAACCAAGTTTACTTGTTAAACAAGCTTCAGCACTAGGATGCTGGTCAGCGGCTAGTGCCTTCATCATTTGCTGCATCTCTACATGCATGACTCCTATTTTCCCAGTTCTCTAGTAATGATCTATTTAGCACAAACTATTCGTCCATTGGTGTTCCCCAAATAATTTGTAGTGGATGTCCAGATGAAATTTGAGAAGTCACTAGTTTATTTGTTATGAGACAAAAATGGGTACATCCATTGAGGTCTGTATTTTGCAGCCTAAAAAGTTATACATCAAAATGTTTCAGTAGCTACTTGTCATATAGGATTTGCTTAGCCTTGTTACTGGGGGGAAAAAACAATTCTCCACCTCCTATTCATCCAATGTATATCTTAACTTGATTGTTTATTTCCCATTCATTGGAAACTGTAGTTAAAATAAAGTGATCTACCGGTACAATGAGTTTCCAGTTCTCTATGGTAGGTGAGATATGCTTAGAATATTACTGAGATTCACTCAAAATATGGCTATACATAGGACACGAGGTCACATATTTAGGCTGAAAGAAAGGAGATTTCATTTAAGGCAAATAAAAGGTTTTGGTTTTTTTTTTTACAGTAAGAGCAATAAGGATATGTAATTATCTGCCTGAAGAGGTGTCAGAGTCTAAACAGATGTTTAAACTGCAATTGGATAAATACTTGCAAAAACATAACATACAGGGGTATAATTTCTAATTAGTGGGGTAATAGCTGCTTGATCCAAGGAGACATCTGACTGCTATTTTGGGGTCAAGAAGGAATTTTTTCCAAGTTTGTTGCAAAATTGCAAGCGCTTCAGACTGGGTTTTTTGCCTTATTTTGGATCAACAGCAAAAACATATGTGAGGGAGGCTGAACTTAATGGACAAGTCTCTTTTCAGATATATATATATATATATATATATATATATATATATATATATAATGTGTGTGTATGTTCTGCTATTTTAGCTCTCTACATGCTTCATGGAATATATTTTAGATAAGCAGTTTCAGTTAATGTATGGAGAGCACAAGATATACCTCAAACTATATTATTAATGTGCACAATTAGCAAGAACATTTCCCACAAAATCATTACCTCTAAAATCATTGTTTACGAAGTGCCCATACTGAGCATGTGTGAAATGTAATACTCTCCTGGAATTCCCAACATCTAGATTGGATGTCCAGAACAAACTTCAAGCTCATATGAATATATTCAACAACAAAATACAGACTGCTAACTATTAATATGTACCTTACCACTAATATATAATTTGGATTAGCCGTATTAGTCCAGTAGAGAAGATACCAAAGTATTGCAGTATGCAATGATACCTTTTTTTTTATTGGACTAACATAATATTTCAAAGACAAGCTTTCGAGAGTTCCCACTCTTCCTCAGGTCTGAAACAGCTCTGGTAATTTTATCTATCTATCTATCTATCTCAAAATTCATTGGATAAAAGCAATTAAACACAGTGTCAAAACGTAAGAATTAAAGTGTAGTATAGTAGTGACATATCCGTCACAAAGCAATTAGAAAAGGAAGTGTAGAAATAATAATAATAAAAAAAAAGTAGTGTGGGGGGAGGTCATGTGTCTCTTACATCACTAAGCAGCCTAGACTGTCCAACAAATGTGGAGTGCTCCATATATGGAAAAATGTGCTGGGGGCATCATGGCATCTCCAACATCCACCATCCTGAGAGGGATCAAACCTGTGTAGGGTCTGTGGAGTTTTATACCAAAGAGATAGCTTATAGGCTGTTTCCTGCATTATGCTGGCCACCTTGGTGTACTAAATTACAAATCTTGTCCCATTGGGGAGCTAAAAACACATGGTGTTCAGAGCCATCTCCCAGTGGCCAAAGATAGTAGGGGTAGGAGATTTGCGTTGGCACTGTAGGGTGGCGTACAGAAAAGAGATCCTCAAAGCTTATCAAGTCCCACTCAAGGTAGTGACCTTGTGTTAAATATTTTAGTGCTGGGGGGCTGGGCTTTGACGCCAAGTGGGACAGTCGCAGCTTGCTAGAGCTCCGGAGAAAAATCTATACAATAAGCTATTTAGGGGGTGCAATTATTCTGCAACTTCAATCCCAGACATGGGCACACATGCCTGGCACCCCCTGGGCAACTCTGGTGTGGCTTTGACAGTAGACGAGGCCGATCTCTCTGTCTGGTGCTGTCCAGACCTACTTGCTGACTGCCAGAGCACTTTACTCCCCCTCCCCACCCTCTGGGCTGGTGGGGGTCATCCTAGTCCCCGACAAGCAAATACCCACCGCCACAGCATATCTTGGCGAAGCTCGTGGAAAAAAGCCCCCACACAGTCCAAAATGGCCGTGTGGCAATGCAGCTACTGAGCATGGTGAGCCTTAAACTGGGAAGCTGATTTCCTGAAGGCTATCGATCATATAGTACAGCTCTACGGAATTTGTTGGCGCTATATAAATAATAAAATAATAATAATAATATATGCAAGCAGTTTTGAATGGGCTTGGAGGCTCTGAATCCGCGGCCTGCATCACCCGCTCCTAGGGCACAATCATCCAGGCAGAGCTCCGGCACCCCCCTCCCAGACCGAGAACCAAGAGTGTCCGTGCCCGCAGTCCACGTACCCGGATGAAGCCCTGCCGCCCAATATCCCGAGACTTTCTACCCATAGCGGCACTACAACGGACACTTACAAGAGAGGCACTGGCTCCCTGGCGGAGAACCAAGAGGTGTACTTGCCCACCGTCTAATATCCCAAGACTTTCTCTCCATAGCTGCACGATAACGGACACTTACAAGAGAGGCACTGGCTCCCTGCTTGACCCAGGCAAGAGGTGGTGATAAGGCATGAAGTACTAAACTGCCCACTCGGACTGGCAGCAACACTCCTCTCCACTACTTGCCAGAGGCATAGGGTATGGGGGGGTTACCATGCCAGGGATCGCTCACCTGCCCTATACTCTCCATTCACGCACTCTGCCTGTCCTGAGTCGATGTGGCCAAGAAGAACCCAACTTGAAAACATACCATCTGCATAACTTGACTTTGTCCTGATCCTGGCCTCAAATGACTTACCCTCCCAGTTCCAGCGGCTTTGCAGACTAGGCATCGCCTGATCCCAGACAACAAGGGGATTTTGTTTATTATCTTTCATGTGTCCTGGGGATGGCTCCTGTAGTCTCACTTTCTACTCTAGTTTAGTCTAAGCCGCTATATGACAATATGACAAGCTTGTTTAACTACAGATTTATATAATCTAACACCTTTCATGCAACCATACTGAAAATGATTAGTTTGCTATATAAATAGTCATACCCTCCTATTAGACTAACTAAAGCATGTTTTTTTTGATTGCTTTTACTTTTATAAAAAAGTCCAATGTCTACTCTCATGCCTTTGGGCCAAGATGGCTATCCCTATGTTGTTTCTAGCTATATTTGTTACTGGACTTGGCAAAACTGACCAGCGTGTTTTACTTTAACAATAAATGAGACTGTTATTACTAGGAGTTTGCGCTCTTAAGCTGTGTATATCATAAGTAATGTCAATCTCCCTAACTCTTTCTCTTTACTCTGTACCCTTTAAACCTAAAGTCTCAATAAAAGACAAATAGACAAATATTTTAGTGCTGGTTTTTGTGTTACTATTGGTCTTACAAAACTGTCTTTTCCTTCTTGTTTTATGTGTTGCTTTTTTCATTTTTTTTTTTTTATTATTCATGGGACTGGTACATGGTAAAGATGTACAGCTACTCTGCCTTTTTGTTTTCTGAAGTGAAAATACTCCAATAAAGTAAAAGGTGCGATTTTATAGCTGGACTGATATTTTTTATATTGCTTGCTGTCACTTCACTACTAATGCTATTTGTACCTCAATACCCCCGCCACTCCCCATTTAAAGCACAAAAGTGATCTACTGATTGACTTTCTTGCAGGTTTTGTGGGGAGTGCTTGCAGCCATGTCTCCAGGTTCCATCCCCTCTATGTCCGCTCTGCCGCATGCCATTCGACCCAAAGAAAGTGGACAAAGCCTCCAATGTAGACAAACAACTTTCTTCATATAAGGCTCCCTGCAGAGGCTGCAGTAAGAAGGTGAGTCTTGTCATTTTATTATATTAATCAGAGGACACTTAATCCATAGAAGTAAAGTGTGTCCTGTAATCCTGTTGCTGTCATTGTTGTGTACAAGGCTGACATGCCCACACAAGTAAGGCAGGTCCTTTGACCATACAGCCTTATTTGGTGGAGGGCATATCTTTGTACTGCAATTACTCAGTGTTGTATCCAGTGGGGGACCAGTTTAAATCACCAGATCACATGTGGCATAAGACTGAGAGCCCACTGATTAATGGAGCCTATTCATAGGCAGATCTCACTGCTGTTGCTTGTCTGTGCAAGTGCAGCAGCTGCAGGATCTTTAGAGGCGAGTGTATATTGGGTATTGGATATGGCTTTATGACCCAAGTAAAGAAGAGTGCTTCTAGTCTATAGTTGAAAATTGTTAATTAGACCCTAGGAACTGCTATTGATCCTAGAAACCTTATTGGTTCCTCCTGTTTGGGTTCATATCGCTACATGCGTAAATTGACATAGATGGATCTTGTAATCTAACTGCATTCAAAATGGCTCTGTCTCCTATTGTTTCCTCTTCCTAATTTCTGATCTATTTCTCTTTTAAAAGATAATGCCCAGTAGGGACTACTTTGTCTTTTGTATTTTTCCTACGCCTGACCATTGTGACAAAAGGGTGGTGCTTAAGGCAAGCTCCACGTCCTTTGTTAGCTTGACAGAATTTATAAAGGAAGTGCAGCCTACCTTAAGCTCCAACCTTTTGTCACAATTGTCAGGTGTTAGTAAAATACATAAGACCAGGTAGTCCCTACATTTGTCTTATGTTTTGAAGAGAAAAGAACAGGTTCTGAAAGTGGGAACAATAGGAGAAAGGAAAGTTTGAGGTGACTGAAACACTTAAGTAAATATATGTAGATCTTCTGGATCCAAGTAAGGATTTTTGTTTGCCTTTTGGTTGTGGTTTGAAGGTAGAGGTTTCCAAGTGCTGAACAAAGGGATCTTACTGTTGATTCCTCCAGTTTTCACCATGTGAACCTGCTGATTGCTCCACACGGGGAAAAAATGTACATGAAAATCAGTGGAATGTTCCTGCTGATTGCGGATTGCTACAGTTAGCTCTATAGTAGAAGTCTTTTTTACATGTTAAAAACCATTGAGTCTATACAACTTCTATCATCGCGCCTTTTAAAGCAATCCAAAAAGACGTACCCATTATTATGTGGTTACACGCTGTGAAACTGATTCCTAGTTGTTTTGGTCACAAAAGCCAGGAATGCATTATTAATGTTTGCGCCATCTTTGCTGTCATTTTAGGTGACGCTCGCAAAGATGAGATCTCATATTTCATCATGCACCAAGGTTCAAGAACAGATGGCTAACTGTCCAAAATTTGTTCCTGTTGTCCCAACATCGCAGCCCATTCCTAGGTATTGATTATTATTGCTGGATTGCCTTGTGTAAATATATTGTTGTTTGTTTTTCTCGACGCTAATAACCTCTTTCTAAATTTATATTATTCAGACATCTATGACAAAGTGTAAGCTGTTTTCTCATATCACAATTATTTGTACTATGTTTACAGTCAATGTAGCACTTATTTGCTGAGGCAACTGTCACCTCAATTTTTTATCTAATTTCATTAAGTATTGAAAGGAATGTTAAAAAAAGTTAAGTTTATGAAAGAAAAGGGGGGGGGGACCCGGAGTCTTAATCCCTGCCTTTAGTATATGGCCAGATTCTTCTTTAACCCCTTAAGGACCAAACTTCTGGAATAAAAGGGAATCATGACATGTCATGTGTCCTTAAGGGGTTAAATATGGTATCTGAAAGAGTAAAACAAACTTCATCCATGCCTTTTAGTATACAACAGACTTCTTCAGCTACAAAAATGCACCTTTGGTTGGACAGTGTTTGAAAACAGACAGTCTCTATGGTCTACCCAGCTTCACTCTGTCAGGATTACAGTATGATCCAGCACGTAGAAGTGTGTAACACAGGAGACTAATGGGTAACGTATACCGGGCCTTAGAATGGCCAGACTCACGTACCAAAGAATAGTCAGGAATAGCCGCAGAAAGGGACACAACGATAAAGGAAAGCCAGAGGTCAGGGATACCAGAAAACAGGGAAGTCAAAATCAATGCCAGAGTCGAATAACCAGAATAAGGAACGCGCTCTGTGACAACCACTAGGGAAACCACGACAGGGCAATAAGGGGAGGTATTTTTAGGTTTAAATACCTGCTTTACTATTTTGATTGGCTGAAATCTCTTTTTCACCCCAAAACGTGCGCGACGTCGTCAATCACGTGAGCAGATGTGGGGGTATATTTTGTCATGAATCCTTAGCGGCTGGGTGCATAAACTGCAAGGTGAGGAAGAATATGTTACGCACTCTTTGGTAAGGGAAGACAATAGAGACTGTCTGTCTGGTTTTAGACATTGTCCGACCCAAGGTGCATGTAAATGGCTGAAGGATCTTCGTCATATTCTACAGGTATGAGTTTTAGGTGTTTTTTGTTTTGTTTTTTTAAGTATACTTTAAAAATAAATCTATTTCCTTTCAATACTTGATGATAGGATTATTATATCAAATATTTTGAGGTGGCAGTTGTCCTTTAAGTCTCGGTCACTAAATGGAGCGGTAGTGGTTTTTCTGATAAGAAGAGAGATCCTTTAATAGTTATAAAATAATCCAGAGAACTGAATTGTAAATTCTTTCCTATATTGCATAATAACTTCTGAATATGCCAGTATTGTGTACACCTTTCCATTTATATATTATACAGAATCTTAAATAAACTACTGTTGTCTTTCTCAGCAATATCCCAAACCGTTCTACATTTGTATGTCCATACTGTGGAGCTCGAAATCTGGACCAGCAGGAGCTAGTTAAACATTGCATGGAAAACCACAGGAGTGATCCTAACAAAGTGGTAAGAGCTGCTATACAGTAGGGCACATCCTGCTTATCGAAGGTATTAACAGGCTTGGGTGTTTAAACCGAGCCTAGATCCTTCTCCAGTTGGCTTTCACCATTACGTTCCTCTACTATTTATTCAGGTAACGCTTGTTTATAACGAGGTATTATATCTCACATTAAAATAGTTAAAAGGGGGGTACGTTCCTAAAATGTGTATTTTGCACACCGGTCGAATTCTGTTCTCCTATGACGAAGATGCAGAGGTGTAGCTAGCTTTTATGGCTAGCTATAAATGTATTTTGCCTGTAGAACTGTATTTTATTTTTTTTTGTCTCCCCCCTACACCCCCCAAACCCATTTTTTGTTACTTTAGTTACATGCACATGCTTACATTCATATACATACGCAATTTTATTTTAATTTTTTCTGTGCACTCCTGCCCTTCCCCCACTTAGTACACTTCTGTGTATTTGACATGGATGTTCAGATTATAACTATTCTTGAGCCCTTCCGCTACGTGCAAATACACCTCTTTTATGGATCCATCCCAGATCGACAATTAATGCACAGGGAACTTACATTGTTTGAGGGTTTGTGCTTTGGGGGATGTGGAGCTGGAGAGTGCAGTCTCTTACTTTATATCAGCCCTTGTTGATTGGTGACAGGATAGACACATGTACACTCACTGACGAACAATGGAATAAGGCAGGGGTTCCCAATAAATTTTTCCCGTGGAACCCTTTGACATAGTGTATCAACATCGTGGAACCCCCCACCCCCGGAAATTATTTTACAATTGCACCATTTTTTTTATTTTTTAAATGTGACGGTGTGTATATCTGTGCATGTATGTGCCAGTTGTATATCTGACACAGATACACACACACACACACACACACTGTGTGTGTATCTGTGTGTTTGTATGTGTCTGTGTTTGGTATGTGCCAGTGTGTATGAATCTGACACACAGATACACACACCTTGACACACAGTGTGTATCTCTGTGTGTATGTATGTATCTATCTGTTTGTCAAGGTGTGTATATTTGTGTTTGTATGTGCCAGTGTGTGTGAATCTGACAGATATACACACTGGCAGATAGTGGCACACAAATACACACATTTACACAGATACAGACTTTGACACACAGTGTGTATCTGTGTGTGTGTGTGTTTGTATGTGTCTGTCACTCACTGACAAGCACACATTCACTCTCACTGACAAACACACAAACACATACAAACTCCCTAACAGACACACATACAACTTATTTTTTCAAATATTTTACTCCACCCAGCCCTCCTACCTTTTAGGAGTGCTGGTATGGAGTCTCTGGGGTCTAGTGGGGCTGCTAGCATGAAGTCCCTGTGGTCCAGTGGGGATGGTTGCAGCTTGGCGGGCGGCGAGGGACAGACAGGCGAGTGGTGGAAGCGGGCGGCAAGGGAGCTCTGATCTCTCTGCTCAGCTCCCTCGCATGCCTCTTAGTGATGCCGGAGTGACGTCATATTCCGGCTCCGGCATCACTGCTGTGCACGGGAGGGAGCTGAGCAGAGAAATCTCTGATCCCTCGCTGCCTGCTGCCATATTTTTTTTTTTTTTTTGTGGAACCCCAATTTGTGTTCCGCGAAACACCAATTGGGAAACGCTGGGATAAGGTGGTACTCTTACACTATAAGAGCTCGATTAGCACCAAATGTCAGGAAGTAGATTATATATTCTTGTCCGTGCGATATCGGACCTTGTCCTACCTACACAAAATGTCCTGGAGGTGTGGAGGCACAGTGCAGTATCTGGTGGGACTGCCCATTATATATTGGCACATGGTTAGGAATATACTCTCTCCAATATATTTGGGACAACGCCTTTGCTTGAATTTGGAAATGTGCTCCTTCATGTGACTCTTGCCAATATCGAAATACAAAAAAAAAAATCAGCTCTACGACATTTACTAAATACTGCAATATTACTATTGTCTGCTCTCTGGAAATGTCCTGAATCCTTTACAAATGAACAGTGGTTTAACAGAGTTGAAGGGATACAGGAAGCTGAGACCTTATTGGCATCCCTTTCAGAGTATAGCATAAAAGACTCTGAACACTGGTTTTCCTGGATTGATTACATACTCCAGCGATATACATTGAAATGGGGATGGGGTGGGGTTTGGGGACTTCTTTTACTTTTTAATGTTTCTCTTTATCTATAAACTGGTTTTCTTTTGACTCACTACTCATCTGTTTTACTTCCTCACATCCGAGTCCGGGACCAAAATGGGTTATAGGCTCATGTGAACGGGGACCCCATTAGAAGCCTAACTATGATTATGTAGTGAAAAGATGAAAACCTTAAATTGATACTCTCTTCTGTAAACACTGACACAATTAAATATTGTCAAAACCCCCCCACCAGATTAGAACAATTCAGTTTAGGAGGCCTGCTTTGTTTCCTAGGTGTGCCCCATATGTTCAGCCATGCCATGGGGAGATCCCAGTTACAAGAGTGCCAATTTCCTGCAGCACCTGCTACATCGGCATAAATTCTCTTACGACACATTTGTGGTATGTACTTTTGTAATGTCTGCTCTACAGCAGTCTTTCTCTCTGGTATTATATCAACTGTTTTTTGTTTTCACATTTATTTTAGCTAGCTGGAATACTTTTAAAGAAAGACTGACACATTTCCTTTTGCTGTTTTTTAATGGAGTATTCACCTTTAGTACATGGAACGGTTGTAAGGTTTTGTCACATTACAAATCTAAATGTCGTAGTGGCTGCAGCCATTTTGAATGAAAACAACATGTTTATGGCCTTTGTGCCAATCTGTGTACTCCTGCTATGATTCTCTTTGTTGCTACCATTTGTGAACAATGTGAAATGTTAGGCCAAAATAGGCAAATTAGGAAAAGAAAATTCTACTTTTGGTCTAAACTTTTAATTTGGTGGTTTATTCCCAGCTTAGTGAATAGGCAGTAAAGTGTGAATTGTGTTTACTGGAATGACAGTCTGTGCCATGTGTCTATTGCAGGATTACAGCATTGATGAGGAAGCGGCACTTCAAGCAGCCCTTGCTCTGTCCCTGTCTGAGAACTGAAGACCCCATTTAGACGTCAGGTCCCCTCTCTCGGTGCTGCCAACCATGGCCGAGGCTTGTACATTCCTTCCAAATTTAGCCAATCACATTTCCTTTCTCCCCATGCCTTTTTTTATGTTAGTATTATTTTATATTAAGGTGGAATCTTTTTTGAATTTCAGAGGGGAAAGGTGGAAGGTGAGGGGATGGCACGTTGGTTAATTTTAAGGCCAAAAAGGGTTCACAGTGCAATTTAAAAAAGCTGGATGCTACCGGGAGACCTTTTCAATATATGTTTATGGGTGCCAGTGCTGTGGTACCCACCCGTGGTTGCTTACAGAGGCATTACTATGGCAATATAAATGGTATAGTCTGGCCACAAACCTGCATTTCGCAAAGGCTGCTCTTTTGCTTCTGTATCTGCTGATGTCTTCAACAGACTTGCCGTTAGTTAACCCTTTATATGTCAGTAGCAATTGGCATCTTAAGTGAGTTGCTCATCCTTACATTCAAGGGTTCACAAAGTCTGTTTAACAGTAATAATAATTTGTAAAAAGGATGGTTGTATATTGTGATAGGTCTCCTGAGGTTTCTATTTTGGGTAGATATGTCTGATTCTCTGAAGCTTCCACCTTTTAAGCAGTGATGGTACCACTGAAGCCAAATTGGGTAGCACTTGAGTTCCTTCGGAGGAAACCACAAAGCGGGCAAACTATTTTATTTTTTTATTTTTCTTCTTAAATTTGGTTTGACCAAGTAGAAGTGGGGTAATCCCCGCAATCGCACCTTAAAGTTTCCAGTAGCTTTGTGGGCATGGACCAGCAATGTAGGTTTCAGCTGTGCCAATAGAGCTGCCAGGAAAAGATCTTAACTGGGCGGCAGTGGTACTCTTGCTGTGTACACCTTTTCTCTGAGGGTTCACGTTTGTGCTGATTGCCCCGGGCTTCTCATAGGTGACATCACACTCTTGTGGACTAGAACACTGCAGGAGGTCGTCCCTTTAACCAGTAGTTGCCTAAATTTGAATAGCACAGTCTTGTTTCAATTTTTTTAACTTACGGGAGTTTGGATCCCATTGGCCAGCAATGTCTCCCGTCCGTTTTAGTTTTCATGTTCATTATATTTATTTTATAAACTTTTAATACAGTATTATGACATTCCGAATTGTAATGAGACTAGCAAACTGGATACCCCCAAAAATCTTGCTGTTTTAACATAGGGGGTGGTGTTTGGCTAGTCCCACTATTCCCCCACAAATCTTTCACCAACCATTTTGGGTGATTCCAATCTTAAACACAAACCACTTCATGTTACGGACCAGTTTGCAAAACTTTCATGGGGCTGGGACCATCTTTTTCTTTACAACAATCAGCATGTATGCAAAGTATTGCATCCCAATAATGTAACCCCTGCAGTGCCCTAGGCCTTGACCACATGACTCAGAGGTCAATGGGTGACTAGTTTTGTACTGGCTTTTCTGATAAGTTTTTGGCATTTTTACTGCATTAGTGTGAAGCTTTGATATTTTATAGTGTAAAAAGTATGTAATATAAACTAAAGAAAAGAAGAAATGTTTTTCTTCATACTGCAATGTTGTGTGTTTGATTCGTAATAATAGTATTTTTATGGAACATAGGATCTATATTTTTTTTTTTTTTTAAACAAAAAAGTCATTTTGCAGCATTACGGTACGTGGGTGCAAAATATGTTATGGCTCAAGGAAAAGATTTTTTTTTATTTTCATTATTCTAGTTTTTGGATTGTCTCCTTAGACTAATACAACCAAAAAAATGTTTTGGGGGAAAAAAAGATGCAAAAGTCTTCTAAATTAATTTTGTACTTTTAGAATGCTCATTTTAATATAAGATAATTTGGCTGAGGTGCCAAGTTTTTATTCTGAATCCACCTCCAACTTGTATATACAAGCAGTTTATTTTATTTTTTACAGATAGAACAAGATGGCCATAAAACAGTGATTGCCAAACTTCTTTCCCACGATGCTTTGCAAGCCAAAGGCTAGCAAAGTACCATGGGAGACGTAGTTCCTGCAAAGCAGCCAGAGAGCTACATATTGGCTGCCACCTGCTGTAAAGTGATGGAGAAGAGTCTGTCTGTGCTGCAAAATGTTGTGTATTATTTTTGCAATCACGCTATACATGAGAGATTTGTTTACTTTTAACAGGGAATCGACTGGTGATGTAACTTTGGGGTTTATTTACTGCACTGTGAGTTGACAGCCAAACTGCAAAATTTACTTCAGAATGGGGAAAACCAAATCTTTAATTTAGTTTAGCCTCTGCCTCGGCTCTTATGTAACATTTTTCAGTTCACACGGTCACTGTTTAGTCAATAAGCCCTAGGTGTGTTCAAACTATGCTTTCATTATTCCCAGTGCCCTGCAATAAAGGGTTTTTTCCACCCTAAGATCTTACAAATTAAAGTAAACCTGGAGGATTGCCCCGTATCAGATTAACCAAGTTGAATTTAGGAGAATGCATAATACGCTCCACGCATAGTTCCAAAATGTTTACAGACACAGCAGGACATACGTACCAAAGACCCAAATATAGATAGACTGCAAATCTTCCCATTGCCTGTGTGCATCTTGGCTGTCCAGTTGATGAGTTTAAATTTTCAAAGGGAAAAATCTGCTTAAGGTTATGTATATTGTTTTTGTGCCCTTTTGATAGCTCTTGATGTCAATGGCAATACTCAGTTTCAAGTCGTTTCCCTGTGAAAAGCCCTAATTGCATGAAAGCGATTGAAGGTGTACTTGGGGTTTTCCAGATGCTTCTAGCCTGTCTTATTTTTGCTACCCAGAAGAGGGCAGCAGCCATAGCTTGCATTCAGGCCATTAAACCCAAGTTGGAGATTGGGTGGCACAAATTTATTTAATTCCGGTTTAATACTGAAAGGAATGTGTCAACCACTGCAAACACTCCACTAGAAAAAGATGAGGGTCATGCTGCCTGAGGGACCTGCAGCACGTTGCAGCGTGGTCGATATGACCAAACTGGCAGTCTTATTAATGCTTCATAATACAGTGTTGTGGCACATTCAATTAATCGGCAGCGAAAGGAGGTAAAGGTATTTTAATTACACTTTTAAAGGAATCTAGAACGGTATGTTTGTTTTTTAATACAGTCTGTAATGTTACAAATTCTTTTATTCTATTACCACATATGATACCTGACCCTTCTCCTTTACATTTGTCAACGAAGGCCCTTTTTTCCTGTCCTTGACCTGCACTTTTCTTAAGTCTTATGTTGACAATAGATTCCCTTTGATGTGTAATTAATATCATGTTTATTCCAGTCTCTAATCTTGGTGACTCTGGGCACCATAACCACTGCAGCATATTGTAGTGGTTGTGAAGCAAGGAGTCTGTGGGCACCCCTCCTCCAATTGTACTAAATGAAGTGGATTGACAAAATCTGCAGCCCTCTTCAGCTGCTCGGCCAATCTAGAAAATAATTTCTGTATTAGTCTGTCAAACTTTAGACAGTGATAATCTGAAATCACTGGAGGAAAGTTAGCCTCGCGTTCACAGCATATCATTGCTCCGTTATTACACAATCCACTATATTTATATACTAATCCTGCCTTTGCATGACACAGTTGGTCTTCTTCCTCATTATAGGGCAAATTGTCAATAATTTATACTGTCCCAGAATGGCTTTGCACCCAATACTCTTATTTAACACATTTTGAGTTTAGGGAAAGTGGGTAATATTTCTGTCCATATTTCGATGTTTGTCAGGTATTTTACTCTAAACCACAATCTCTCTACCAAATTTCCACTTGAAAACCTGCTTTGAAAGGGCATTCAAGTTTGGCCCAATCTCCAGTTTGCATACCCAAAGTTTCTTCATATGAGTTCAAATGATTCCATGCGCACCTTCACAAGATAAATGGTTGTATTTGGCTGTGCATGAAGCAAAAAAAAAATAATCTTACCTCAGATGAACAATGCAAATAAGTATTTTGTTTCTGTCTTCTCGTTCTCAGTCTGTCCTTGTTAATATTATTTTATTTCCTATTCTGTGATGAAGCGTGGCACAACAAAACCAATTGTCCCCTTTGAGTTTTGTGATACTTTCTGTTAAGAGTAATGCTAAAATCAAGGCTAAAATAGCTAAATGCGTTAAATGGGAACATTTGAGAAACAGTGCACCTTTCACTGTATTAGACTATGCCTTAACCAGGCTAGATGACGGTTATAGAGCAACAACAGATGGATAGCCAGATATTGCCCACACCTTAATATCCTGTGGTCCTAGTTAGGCATGAGAGCAGCCATTTTGTCACTAGCTGTAAGATGTCCCAAGTTCAGTTTTAGGGTGTATATTTAAGAATGGTGGAAATCTTTATACAGCTGCTAATACCAACAGCAGATCTATTGCTATTCAAATGCTGCTTCTTACAGAAGTCCCAGTAGTTGGTGTATCTGCATTTTATGTAACAATGCAAGAGCTCCCTATACCTATTGGCCTGTAGTGATAGTCAAAAATTAAATGAGCCATTTGCAATGACTAATATAATGCAGCTAACTAATTTTAATATGACAAAGGGCACAGGAATTTTACATAAATATTTCTTCTTAATGGCATTTTTGACCAAACTAGCCAATTCCTTGCTGAAATCAAATGAATCTTAACTTCTTATGAGCCACGGACATCCCAGGCATCTCAGGATATAAATGGATGTACATAGACTCTGTTCTTTTAGGGATTAATGAATAATACAACTTGCTTGGCTATGTTTTGGCACTTTTTGTAAATGGGTGATGTCTGCTTTGAGTAAATCCAAGTCGGGAAGGCTTTATTTGCTAAACGGTAAATCGAAAAACTAGATGGCAGAACATGATGATCTGCAAAAAATAACCATCTCGGCTGTAGACACAGCTGGATATTTTAGACCAAATTTTGCAAACCTGTTTCAGTTCAGATTTGAAGGAATATGCCTTAAAGTGTTGAAATATTGCGAGTTGATATGTCCTCTGTCATGATTTGCAGCTATAAGTAGATATACCCCCCTATTTCTAAGTCATGTAAACTGCAGGAGGTACACGGGATGACAGCGGGACATGTCATGTTCTTTTAGACCCTTTTCCTTTCTTCCAGGCTTGTTTTACACAAAGTGAAGGATGTAAGGGGCGCACATGGTCTGTGGAAATTGTCTGTCTGTGAAGTTATTACACCGTGTCTCTGTTACCTGTGTTATTTTGCATTCTATGCTGAATACTAGAAGTTTTGACAATAAATACTGTTTTTTGGAAGTAAAAACAAAATTTATTATGTATTTGTAGCAAAATCATTTTTCTCAGTAAAATCCTGTTTCATTCCAAAAAAAAGCGTCTGTCTTTTTATTTTATTTTTATATTCTCTTTACACAAACCTTTTTAAAAGGACACTAAGCACACACTTCCTTCTCACCATACCGATTCATACCTGCAATGGCCACTGGGATAGGCTAAAATCAACCAGCTGACCCCATCAGCCAATCACAGCTACCAATTGCTGCTCAGGCTAATACTTCATGAACCCGAGTAGCACAGGGGATGGGGCTGCTAAGGACAATTGGAAAGCATTAAAATACTGAATAAAAGAATGGTGTCAGGGGATTCTAGACATTACAGCCACTTCAATGAGGTGATGCAGTTAAAATGCCTATAGTGTCCCTTTTCATTACACAAAAGGTAACTCAATGTGTTGCGCACACAAACAGGTTTATTAACTAAAGTTAGAATTCACGTTGACTCTTGGCATGATGGGCATGCATGAAATAAGACCCAGTGACACCAGCACAACTTAAACGATAAGTAATGCTGGTCCTAGGGTAAGGGAGACATGGCCTGGGGGGTTGGGTTTGATGACTGGGCCATTTTAACATTCACTTTGTATCCTCACTTTAGTTAATAACCCTGAAAGTGTCTTATAGTTAAAATGTGCGTCAAATAAAGCTGTCCCTTATTGGGAAAATATGACACTCCATGTAACAACATCTGACTGTGTGGATATGGCTGCCTTGGAATTACAGAATGTGTATTGACAACCTATAGACTGGACTTTGTCCTCAGTACTTCCATATGAGAAAGTAAGTGGTGGATCTTTATAAGTTTCATTGGCCCGTTCTGTAGCTAATAAAGTATGTTTTTAGGGCTTAGTGCAAATTTCAGTAAATGCACATTCTCTCTCCACCCCACCCCAGACCAGAATAGCCATATGGGAAGAATTCTCCTTGCCATCTATGTTTTCCGTTCAGTGGTTTTGGTCTAAAATGTTAAATTCCTGCCAATTCACATGTTAGTGAATAAACCTGCCAGGCTGATAATTCTGAGACACACAGTGATGTTTGAATTCCTGTCCCTGGACCCTCTTATCTTTCAGCATTGGGTGTGGCCTGAAGAGGTAAGTAAACGTAGGCTGCTATCTTCAAGTGTTGCTTGCTACACAGAGAAAGCAAGTGGCTGGCCACTGTAGCCTTGGAAGCTGACTTATTAAATACTTGAGAATATCAAAGCAGAGACTGAAATATTTTCAGCACTTGGTAGATTGTTTGCAATCGCACCCCACCCTTTACCAAGGCCAGTAACTCAAACTTTGCATTCTCTTCAATCCTTTGTCCTTGGCTGTGATATCTTATGTACTTTTTTCATTCTAGTTGATAACTACTACTTTGGATCCCGGTTGGCCAAAATATAGACCTCCACATGTCCCATGATGCTTTGCCAGTTCTGCAGCTGCTAAAGGGAGCTTCTATGGGTGTGTTTTGTTTTTGCTGTTTTTTTTTTCTCCACCTTTTACTGTTTTACTATAGGAAGTATTCACTAAACACAGCATTACATGACTTGAGCCAAACTAGCTCATTGGAAAAACCTGAACTCTGTTTTAATTAGAATAGAAAGAAGAGGTATAATAAATGGCGCTAGGTGATTGCTGCTGAAAACACACTAATGGGAACAGTCACACAAATCCCACCGAAAAAGAAATACACAAAACATAGAATAGTGTGCAGCGCATATATAGAGTACCCAAAGATGTATATCACTTAATACATAGGTGGGTAAATGTGCAAAAAAGTAAAAACAAAATGAATACCCCAACACTGGAGATATCAGTTGATCTTTTTCCTATGTATTATAAAACAAAGAGGAAAAAAAAAAATCTCGTAGCATAATACTATAGTGCAAAGTACAAGATATCATTTTCTGTATGGTCCAACTCACATGTTTATGAGCCTGTTATATAGGGAACTGTTTTAATTAGCTGGGGGAAAAATTTAGCATTTTGTATTTTAATTCAGGACAATTTGGTGTTTAGTGAACACATTACTTGTTTAGCTGTAGGTTTTTCAACCAGTAAAGTTCTGCCTGGCACAAGTCATTGGGGTTCACCGGCATCTGCTATTAACAGCCTAGACATTTATCACCTGTATCAACTCGACAATACCAAGGCCGCAATTCAATGACTGATGCCGTCAGATTGCCTTGGACAACGTGCACAGCCAAGTCAGGTTGTGAAACAAGACTCAAGCAATTAATTACCTAAGTCTACTTTTCCCGTAACCCATCTCTCTCCCTCCAGAGTCATGCAGAATGAGCAACCATTATTTTATCATTGGATTAAAGGCGAGTAATAAATCCCCCAAAACCTTTATGTTGCAGTATTCATTATATATAAAACTTTTCAAAGCTGAAAAGGCTCTCACCCTTTAGTTTAAAAGAAAAGGGTTTTATTCCCTCTTCTAGAGTCTCTTCTTAATTATGTTACAGTGAGCTCATATCTGTGGTTTTCCTCCAAGCAGTACATGTCAGGCTGATGATTTAGGTTAAAATAGCAACGCTGTGGCTGTAGCGGAGTTTGATATTTTTTTTCTAGTTCAGCGATTTTAGCCTAATTTCTTATTTGCTGGGTATAGCAAATAAACTCTATACAGTTTCCCAAATCCACACGATTAACACAGACAATGGACAGGATATAAGGTTGCAAAAGTATTTCACCGTTTCTACGTCAACTCTGCAACTGACAGTGGAGCAGAAACTTATGTTTCAAGATATGTGAGTGATGAGAAGCTTGATTCCCTCCCTGATCATGGCAGAAAAGTTTCAGGATAGTCGCATCTTAATAAAGCCCGTAAACCAGACAGCCCACTTCTGCGATACCTGATGATCTTAGGTGACATTCTGTTTCTAAAGTTTACTAGTATTTCCATGTGACACCCTTTCAGCATATATAACAATCCTGAGAGATGGTAAGGACTTGGGCCGATTCTCACCACAGACCCATCACCTTAATAAATGGTTCTGTTACTAACTGTAAGTGTAACTTAACTCAGAAGGCAGCAATTCCCCAGAGCACCCCTGCCCTTTGTTTATTCCCCAAAGCCTTTTTAGAAGCTGTCAGGCATAACTCGGGGATGCATGGTTGCCAGAACAGCAATAGGGTTCACAAGGTGTGCCAATAAAACACTGTTTTTCATTGAGCAGCCACATATGACATTCCTAATGCTTTAGTGCTCTGTTAAGTGTTTCAATCCCAGACCCCACCTGTAAGGAGTTAAAAAAGCAGTTAAAGGGACACTATATTCACCAGAACGACTACAGCTTAATGTAGTTGTTCTAGTGTCTAAAGCCTGTGCCTGCGGGTATTTTAATGTACACACTGCCTTTTCAGACAAAATCTGATTTGCATGGAGGCGCTCCCCATAGAGATGCATTGATTCAGTGCATCTCTATGAGAAGATGCTAATTGGAGCAGTGTGGCGTTTTCCGCGTGTGTGCATTAGCCTCCCAATGCATTCCTATGTGAAAGCATTGGACTGGCTTATTCTGATGATCTCAGCCAAGGGGGCAGACCTGCGCAGCAATAGGTAAGTTTTTAAGGGCTGACTGGCCACCTTACCTGTGGTTTTTACACTATAGGGTCAGGAATACACATTTGTAGTCATGACCCTATGGTGTTCCTTTAACTTACCTTTTCTTCCACACTGAATTTCTCTGTCCACAGCTGGCCCCGCCTGCTTGACAGAGATCACCGTGCTCGATGTTCTCAGTCAATCTAATACTTTCCCATAGGGAAGCATTGAGAAGCTAGTGCACATCAGGGCTGGCACAACCATGAGTCGGTACAGGTGTCAGCCTTAGGGCACACTTCCCCCGGGAGGCACAGGGTTCAGGTAACCAGTAGGAGAGAAGTGCACAGCACTCCCCCTCCCGCTAGGCACTTCATGTTGTATGGCCAAGCAGACCGTGGGGAAGGATCTTCAGTATCCCCTACCCCGTCTAAAAGGAAGCTTTTTATTGCGCTCACTGAGATTCCTGTCAGACTGTGTAGAGGATACAAAACAACCTTCACTGCAGTCTGCTCAGCCACACTAGATGGAGGTAAGCAGACACTGGAGGGGTGGAGAGACCACAAAGGTGGGGGAGGAAGGAGGGATGGCACTAAAAGACACGCAAATGGTGCTGGGGGGAAGAGGGACAGAGATACACACAAAGGGGTTACAGAAGGGGAACATGAGACACATAGAGGAGAGCGAGAAAAACACAGTGGGACTGGGGAAGAGGAGAAAGAGACATACCAAAGGGTCTGGGGGAGAAAGAGAGAAACAAATGATGGGGGAGGGAGACACACAGAGAGGATGGGGAAGAGAAGAAAGATGCACAAAAGGGGTTGTGGGAGGGAGAAATGCATGTGGAGGGGTTGGGGAAGCAGAAAGAGAGACATAAAAAAGGGTTGGGTAGCGAGAAAAAGACACACAAATGGACTGGGGGAGAGAGGCACAAATGGGCTGGAGGGAGTAAGAGACACAAAGAGCTTGGGGGAGAAAGAGACAAACAATGAAGGGGAAGAAGATAAAGAGACATATACAGGGGCTTGGGAAGGGTAGAAAACACAAATAGCCTGTGGGGAAGAGACACGCAAAAGTGGCTAGAAAAAAAAAGCCATAGCGGGGCTGGGTAAGAAAGAAAAAGACAGAGGGGCTGGGGGAGTAAGAGAGACACAAGGGCGGGGGGCGGTAGTAAAGGGGCTAGGGGGTAGTAAGAAACATACAAAGAGGCTGGGGGGAAGTAAGAGACATACAAAGAGCTTGGGGGGGATAGAGAGACACACAAGGGGTGTGTAAGAAATACAAAGGGGGAAAATGGGGATAAAGAAGGGTGTAAGACATCCAAAAGGAGATAAACACACAAGGGGGTAAGAAATAAATAGGGGGTTAAAAGACACCCTTTTGTTGGAGGAAAGGTTGGGGGGGGGGAAGCAAAAAAGCATAAAATCATTGCACCAGCCACCAGAGGCATGTAAACCCTGCAATATAAACATTTCAGTTCTGCAGGGACAAAACTACAGG